TAGCTACAGTTCTGTTTGTTTCTTTACATAAATTATCAACGTTCACATCACATTTTCCTTATTCTCTTCTTATTAACTAGCTGTTCCATTATTCATAAACAAAAAAACAAATAAACACACAAAAGTGTGTAAAATAAATAACCATGAGAAGCAATCAATTAATCAAATTATTAATAATCAAGAAAAGATTAAACAAAATCAATTTTTAAAAGCAAGTGAGTTAAAATCATATTTCCAAGTTTCAGACAGGTAGCGAGTTAATACATTGGTTAAGTATCCACAACAACTCTTTATTTAGTTTGTATCGACAATTTTTGTTGTAGTTCTGGTTCAAATCGCTTACGTTTTTCTTTTTAATTTGTTTGTATCGTATTTTCTACATTTATTTCATTTGAAATATATTACATTTCACATAAACATAATGAAAATCTTACGAAAAATTGTGTTTTCTGCCAAAATTTATTAGACAAAATTACTGTTTATATTATTATAAGCTTTACTGTAAAATTTTATCAAATAAAGGTGTCAAAATGAAGAGTGAAAGTTGATAATAGAAGGAAAAAGTAATTATCGAAATAATTTTAACAAAAACGAAAAAAGACAGTCGCCCTCTTTCGGCAGTCATTTCTACAGCAGCAAAGCACGGCTATAAAAAGTTCTGATTGCTATCGGCTAATTATTCACTATCAAAAATGGCATAATTTAAACAGAAATATTCACTATTCCCTCCAAGTACCTCATCGACAATTCTTTTTGCCTGCGTTATATCGAAAGGAGAGTTTGCCAAGGTGAAGATTTGGTATCGGTTCGCTCACGTCTGATCACAACAAGCGAGGATTACACACAAGAATAATTTGGCATCATTTCGATGACATGCTATCGGCTGCCGTGACTACCTTCAGTTTTGTTTGTTTCCCGCTATTTGATGGCCATAGTAGATGTAAAATACTGTATCTGCTCAGAAATTCTCTTTCAGGCGTATTTCGACCGACAAACAACAAAAATCATTAAGTGGATACGGGGTCTATTACGCGCATATCCTTGGTTAGGGCAACCAGAGATGCTGCCTATGTTGAAGAATTTGAACAAATAGATGAAGGGTAGAAATTGAACAAAGAACACCCTTTGAATATTCTATGTACAGAAATGTTGTTTTCAAGCTAAGTAGCCAGCCTTTATAAATAATTTCATTATTTCAAGCCATGGACGTAGGCACGTATCCCCTCACCCCATCCCCACCCCCACTTTTCAGAACCTTAGAAAAAGTACCTTTTGCACGAGGTGCCTTTTGTATCACACTATGATAAAATACTTTGTAACACAATGCACTTCGCAATGTTACACAAATGCATAGGGTACACTAACGCATATAAAGCCGGACTATCTTCTTTGAAGAAAGTGTAGTTTTTTTCAAACTGGTAAACATTCTTACTGAAAAAGAACTGGAATCAAGAAAAGGGAAGTTCACTGGGTGAGGACAAATAAGAGGGAGAAGGAAAAGTATCTTTCCTCCAACCTCTACTACTTCTCTTCCAGTCATATTCCCTTCCCACAACTCAAATTTCCCTGAGAAGTGCGTATATTTTCACGTATAAATCTAGAATAAAAATAGGCTTCGGGGAAGTTTAAAGAAAGTATAACGACCGACAAAGTAAGTTTCAAGTGTCCCTTGTTTATACGACATGGAATGACACAATCTCTGTTCACAGAATCGATACTTGGAGACACGTCATGACACCACACCAAGTTGTCTCTACTAAAGACCTTATATTCAATGCTTCAATGTCGTAAATGACTGTATTTATAATTAGATAACAGACTTCTGACAACTTTGTTACTAGAGCACTAAATTATGTAATCCGGAGGAGACTGAGCATAATTGAACGATAAGACCGAAGGTGTAGCAGTGTGACGTCATTTATGTCGAAGATTCCATAAAAAAACAAGTGAGCAGAAGATTATGCAAAGATAAACGGAAATATGTGGAATCTTAAATGATCATATAGAGAGCAAGGACTGTGAGAGCGTGACGTTATAATGCGTTGCAAGATGGGTGGAACAAAGACAGGACGGGAACCCTACAATGATGTTGGCTATCCAGCTGCATATATGATTCGTATGATAACATAACAAAGATAAAGATAACAAAACACAGCATTTTTAGACAAAGTGACTGTACCAGGAGGCAGGACACAAAACAAAATTGATATGTATCGAATGCTTGCGCTCAAAAGATCACAACCAGCCTTACATAGATTTGGTTGTGCAGCCAGGCAATAATGAACGTGGGAGGTTGATGCCTTGATGTCAAGACGCACAATAGAAGGAAGAGAAATTTCCTCCGGTCCTACTAACTAAAGATTCGACTTAATATACCAACTGGCCGATCTGACTAAACCTTCTCCGTTATGAGCCACCAATGGCAGCCACCAGGTCCTACTTAAAGTAAAGTCTCTTTTGACTCTATTCTGTTTTGTTTTAACTTTTTACTTAAGCAAACTGTTTGAGACAGATTGTTGCAGTTTAACTTTATGTAATGGCCCTGGGGTAATCACAGCCTTTTGCTCCCCGGGGTATCGTTCCCTGTATTGTTGTAAAGTAGTTTTTGTTAGTAGTGTAGCCTGTAGCTTTGTATCATAACTTTTTAATGGAGTGTATAAAAACCCTAAAGATTCGCGAGAAACTAATCCGGACTATCAGAAACTCATCCGGACCATCAGAAATTCATTCGGACCATCAGAAACTCATCTGGACCATCAGAAAATCACCGTGACCATCAGAATATCATCATGGCCATCACAGTAGCGCAAGGATGAAGGTGGGGGTTTGTGGTAAAGGCATAGACGTAGGAGGCATTTTAAAAATGGGGGCATTTGTAGGTAAAAAAAGGCGCATCTCCGTGAGCTGCAAATAGGTACTTTAACTCTGTTTCTAGTGATAAAATGGCGCAAACTTTTCAATTTTGCATTGTTCGGCCAAACTTTACTCTTTTTATTCTTGCAACAAACAGGTACACTGATAAGAGGAAACACTGCTTCGTTAGCTGTGAATCCTATTCTCATTTTATCGTGCCACGTGACAGAAAGCAGAGATTCTAAAAAAATGATTGTTGCAAAAATCTATAAAGATAAAACCACTGTTGGTTGGCCTTATGGTAGCTTATTTACAAGGACTACTGGCAAATAATTGAGCAAACAGTAGTCTTTACTTTTCTTCATAATCAAATGCACAAGTACATAAAAATCTCGATTCATGAATAAATTATGATAACTTTAAAATTTCTCTGCGAACATGCGCTTAATGCATATAAACAGCGATATTCTAATGAGCAAGCACATGCAAACAAGGCTTTGTAAAATAAAGGCTGGAGAAAGGCTTCAAAGCCAATCCCTCGTTCAAAGAATAGCTTTCGCTCGTATCTGTTTGGCATTAATCATATCGTAGAACATCAGCGTAAAGGAAACACAGTCGATACATGGTAGAGAATTGCATCTATAAAGAAATGTTGCGGACGTTTAAAAATGCAAGATTAAAGAAATACAATCAGCACATGATTTCAGAACAGTCTGGGACAATATCTGTTTATAGCCAAAGGAAAGCAAACGCAACTTTCTTGTTACAAAAGTGCACGTATAAGAGGGTGTATGAATTAAGAACAGGCTGGGACAAAATCTGCGTAGCGGAAAGAGACCAAACGCAACTTACTTGCTGGAGGAGAACATTTTTAAGAAGGTGTATGAATTAAGAACAGCCTGTGACAAACTCTGCGTAGCGGAAAGAGACCAAATGCAGCTTTCTTTGTTAGAGAAGTACCTCTTTAAAAAGGTGTTAACGAAGCTTGGGCGAGAGAAGGTGAAAGTAATACAATCAGTACATGGTTTCAGAACAGCCTGGGACAATAACTGTTTACCAGAACGGAAACAAATGCAATTCTCTGGGTAGAGAAGTTCATCTATAGGAAAGATGTTAGGGATGCTTGAAAGAAGTAAAATAAATACATGGTTTAAGAACAGTTTTAAATAAGTTTTGTGATCATGCCTTTTGGAATCCTGGAGAACGCCCCTTTTTACTAATGCTTCGCATAACCTTAATTTGGATTTGGGCTTTTCTCAGACACCAGATATTCAGACATTTGAGAAAGTGAACAATTCGCTGTTTTTGATCTACTTTATACATAAATTAACCAGGGGCGTGCCTTTTAGTAAGAAGAAATTAACAACAGAACTTAAATTTCTTTAGCAAAAACCTGGAAGGACCATAGCGGATATTGCGGAGAAATGACGTAGGCACTGTTTATGTTGTTTAGGTAGGTGATGTTTAGAAGATGAGAACTAGCAGCCAGTATGGAAATTAAGGATGAAGGGAACAGAGGTAGATCTAATTCTAAGCAGAGGAGGAGAGATGCGTTTTCTAGAGGCTCAAAAAGACTGAGGTGGAGGGTGCCGGCAATAGGGGAAGGTGAAGAGACAGGGTCAAAGCAGCTGATCGTAGGATAATCTGGATTAAAGTCAGGGAAAAGTAGAAGATGAAGTAAAAGAGGTTACGCAGCAACAAAAGCCAATTTCTGCACGAGGTACTGCGAAGATTTCGTTTTCAAACAAACATCTACGGACTGATTGCTTAGCTACAGCCTTAGCTCTGTCAAGTTGCTTTTAAACGATCTCTCATGTCAATAAACCTATTAGCAAAGAAAAGACAAAATGCTTCGTCTTTCCTAAAAAGGCTCCAATTTTTAACAGCGCTTAAGCAAAAATGCGTAAAAAACGCTTGAAAGATGACGGATGGTAATTTTCCACGTGTGGTCAAACCATCTGCTAAAACTATGAGCTGGCTACCCTGCAAGTAAAATATACTCTGTTAGGTCCATTCGTTATGAAAGCGATGTTATCTTATTTTTGAATTTGAAAGAGTCGATGGGATATTCTCACCAGAGCGTTTGGTGGGACTTTTGATAATTATCAGTGATGAATCAATAGATAAGAAAATATTGTTAAATTTACGTGAGGCAGGTGAGCATGTGTCGACCTACAGCAGAGAAATGATAATCATGATTATGATGATTTTCTGAAAGTTTAGCAAATTTTCAACAAATGCTTGTTTCTAGGGCAGTGGAAACTAGATGTAGTAAAACAAATAATAAAATAATGACATCTCCTGCCTAGTCAAAAATAAAACTGCTTCCATATTTGTTGAAGACAAATGCAGCGGAGAGCCCCATAGTTGTTGCCACAGTCTTAGATGTTGTGGCTCCTTTAATTCTCTCTTGTTAGATAAGGTGATCGAAGCTTTGACTTTCCATTCTCATAACTTCAAAAAGGGCATAGTAATTTCAATACTTTAGAATAAAAATGACATTTTTTATTCCTTCTCATACTTTTGATAATTCTTACGTAACTTGCTTAAGAACATTCTTTCTCTGTAATAGGATTGTGTGTTGCTTAAGAACATACTCTCTTTACACCTGAAAATAAATTCCATGACAGTTAAATAGAAGTAAAACTGCTTGCAGACTTTAATATTTTTATTTTAAATTCTAGAGTTGCTTGGAGACAGTGTACTGTAGTATCAGCCAAATCCAATAAAAAAAGGTATTGACTGGTGTGTTTATTTTCATTTATCCAAATCCCCCCAGTTTTCTGGGGCACATGGAGACATGATAATAAATGCAGAGTACAAATGTATTTTGAAGGGTTTTAATTTTTTAACACGGTATAGAAACTAGTATGATTCCATAGAGCCACTAAAACAGACCTCCTATATCCTTAATAAAGACTAGTAAAAGCTAGTCATCACAGAATTTACTTACACACAGAGGCAGAATGTTATTAATTACTTGCTATTTCTACTAGCAACAAGTGCAACACCCACTCATCTGTCACAAAGAAACATTTCCCACACAACAGTAATTGTAAATAGCTTATATATTTGCATTCTTGAGTTTAGGTGCAAGAATTTACTCCCAGCTGTGGGTTGGGCTCCTCTGTCTACCAAAGGAAGCTTCAGCTGAAAAGCTATCTACTGACTGCTTCACCATTCCTTTGATGATGGTTTTGTCTACCTAATAAATCAACCATCTTGTATATGATGATGATACCTACAATTCATACTGATCTTTACAATGTGAACTTAACTCATGGCAGCTCAGGGTCATAGCCAGGATTTACACCATAATCATTATCTTATGTTCATTATCTTTAGTACATTATTAACATTGCCATTCTCTCAGAAACAGAAACAAAATGACTGTTCTATCTCAAAACTTCCAAATAAATCTTTTTGTACCATATTCTAGAAATTTTGGTATAGAAATAAATACCAAGAACACGACCAATTCTCATTCCTTTTTTCAAGTTTTTCTTGGATTACCTGTTTCTTTCATTTATGTCTTAATCTTCAATTTGCTTTGTTTAACTATTGATTTGCCCATTTTTTGGTGCTTTACCCCTGTTGTCCCCCTTGAGTGCAGGCTTCCCTCCCAGTGATTATACCTAAAAAATTGCTGCAGTGTGCACGCCACGAGTTTGAAAGTGGGGAGGGGTCAAGTCTTCTTTCAGCTTTGAAATTACTTACTTCGCAAAAAAGTAGAGGGGGGGCTTGCGCTGTGTGATACTTCTAATCTTGCATCAAGTTAAAAATATTTTAAGCATGATCTAAATCAACCATAGGCCTATATGCAATTAATTACCTTGAAGTATGGTAGGCCAGGCCTAAAAAGAAGTTTACCAGCAGTTATCCTCTTGAAAGTATGATGCATTTTACTTCATTATTGTTTTACTCATTAAGAAACAATTTAAGCATAAAAATATCCATAGAACTGCAAGGCATATTTTGACATATGTACTGGTGGGCTGACGGGCCCACCAGGCCCCACCAATGACCCACTACTGAACCGAAATTTTTCATAGTTGGCCCACCACTAAATGGGCCCTTTTTATCAAATCAAGTGACCAGAACAAAAATAACACAACAACACGATTGTGTAAAATCATTTACTTTCTCACATTTTGACTTGCTGTCAAGGCAATATTCTACACATATCTTTAAATGGCAGTGGAACCTCGTTATTCGACCCCAGAGAGGCAGTGGCTGAATTTCTTAAGCGAAAAACCCGAAGAAACTCTACTCCCGATCCAGAGCTTTTTAGAGACAGAGAATTCATGAAAAATTTTTTCAGAACCTCAGCTGGATGTTTGTGAACACAATATGTGAACTTATATTTAAACATAACTATATTATATGATTAAACTGGTGAATCTATAAGTAAAGAAAGTTAACTTGGTATTAGTCTCTCATTTTGCGCTCATCCTACCATCTTTGGTAGTGTTTTAGTGGGTAGGCCTGAGTACACACCTGAGTGTGGCTTTGGGGTTCAAGTAGAAATTATGGGGCAAAAATTGTTTGGCCACGCCCTTAATGGGCCCCTATGTGACTGTGGCCCACTATTGGAAAATTCTTAAAATATGCATTCTAAAACTGTGAACTAACCATAATTATGCGGCAACAGTATTTTGCACTTACATCTTTGTTGAGACTTTCCTTGATAAATTTGAAGCCATTTTGTCTCGTGGGCTTCATGTTGACAAAGCTTGTACAGTACCAAAGAAACCATGAAAGGCCTGTATCCTTGTAACTGAGAATAATGTTTTGATTTTTTCCATAAATTGCCTTAAGCAGCCCACACGACTTTCTTAAACCTGGTTTTGCCATTTTGGACAAATGCTTCCCGGTTCACTGGCGGGAAATGCGGTGCTCCTCCGTCATGTTTGCTGACATGGTACAAAAATTCATTTTTGCAGTAAAGTAGCAAAGTGAAGACTTTTGAAGTGAAGATAAAATTTGACCACACGACCACAAAGAACACAGTAAAATACTTCTAAATGTCTAAACCAGTTTAATCTGTTTCATATTCCTTAAGATATTACCAAAGAAAGATTTGAGGTTTGTCAACGGATTACCGTTATTTAAGGTAGGTTCTTAAGTTGTAAAATCAGGGCAAAAATACACTGTTTTATAAGGAAAAAACATGTACTTATGTAGCAATATCCCAGGTAATTTTTAACAAATCTAGCTGATTTTGCATATTTAGAAGTATCCAAGGGAGTTCTTTTAGGTTTGGTGAACAAAATCCGCATTTCTAAGCATTGGTTTTATGATGTTATCGCTTTGCCACTCTGTTCTCAAAAATTTCTAGCCAAAGGGTGTTGGAATGATCAGGGTGGGGTTGAGAACAGGGCTCTTTAAAGGAAATGGTTAAATTCGTTTTTGAAATTGTTGAGTTAATTTTGAGTGATTAGCCAATCAATTAAATTTTCCTGGCGGGAAATAGATAAAAATTAATAGGCAGAAGACTTGTAAAGAGATTCTATTAGATTGACTTGTTAAGCAAAAATTGTTTTAAGTCCACTCCCTTTGCAGATTAGAAATTAATGCGCTAGTCCGCTCATTTTGAAAAAAATAATTGTTGATCGTCAACAAGCTTGGAAACATTCAAATTAAGCTTTCGTCTTCATTATTTTCTCAAAGATTGAAATTTCTCTTCAAATTCTTCCATCATACCTGCTGAAGATTTGCTCAAGAATGAATGTATATTCTTCACAAACAAATGCATATTCTTTAGGATGTGAAAGCTTTAGTTTCCCAAAACAGAAGCAGAAATTATAAAAACAAAAAATTTTTCATTACAGATATATTATCAATGCCCTGGGAAATATGAAGTTTGGGAATTCTGTTTAAACTTTAATTTGTGATATTTAAATTGGATTCCACTGCTTTTCAAATTTTGTTATAGTCGTACAAGTATTACGTTGGTTTCTGTTTAACATCTGCTTTCTGTTTTCAGGTCTTTATCACTTTCCAGCTCTTAGAAAAACCCTTTAACAATTTCAGCTTTGCTAATATCAGTTGTTAATGCTCTAGTCTTAGCCAGCCCTTAGTTTGCACACCTCTTAAGCTATGTTCAACGAGCTACATATGAATTATATATGGTGATTGCGAAGGCATGCAGCAAAACCGAATCTTGGCCATCGTTTTTTGCGTAATTGATCAAATCTTAACCTTGCCTCTCTCTTCTGAAGTTAAACAGATTCATCTTATTTACTAATTCATAGGTTAATATTTATGATTTGTTAATAACCAGCAGATCAAAACGGTGGTTTGGGGTTAAAAAGATCTGTTGACTTTGTAGAAAGAATTCCTTTGGATCAATTTTTTTCATCAGAAAAGTAAAGAAATGTTATACACTTTAATGATTTCAGCAAGATACAATAAGTTTGATTTCATATTTTCAAGAGTTCTAGGGACACATTATGTCCCTCTCTTCACGATGCATAACCTCCGTTTCCACTTTTTCATAATGACACCCTTTTTAACACAAAAGTATATTGCATTTGTAAAAGCCAAAAAATAAAACATTGGTAAAAGAATTTATGAGGTTTATTTTGATGTTGCGAGAGATATTTTCCCCATAGCCCCTTTGGCCCTCCACCCCTACCCCTCCCCCACTGGATGGATGTTTTTAAAGTGTACGTGCATAATTTTTCTGGCTTAAAATCTCTTTCTTTTGAAAGCAATAACGTTTGCGGGACAGTGTAGATAAGCTGTGTTACAACTGGATCACATTGACTACATTATTACGTAGGCTTATTCTAATATGAAATAATTCAATTTTGATTTGCTTTGTAAGGCAACTAAACGCTTTGAGACATGATTGAAGGAATTATTCAAAACGAAAGGTGAAAGAGATGCGCTTTAAGCTTGCTAGGAATCTGTTGATATATCTTCCAGCAAATAACTAGTGACAAAAGTTGCTTTAAATCTTTCTGATATCGCTGCATCATACTGAAATGTAAAAATAGCCTACAGACATCGGAAAGACTCTGCGAATCAGGTCTTCCCGTTTCAAATCGTAAAGCATATGGTATTTCTATTCTGAGTCCAACCTTGAGGGATGGGGGGAAACTTTGATTTTATTTAAATGGGGATGGGGACGGTCTATCCATAATGCTACAAAGTCACTATAAAATTTGACAGACCATAGAAATATATGCTTTAAAGTTTGAATAAGACCCAGAAATATCAAAACTTCAATTATTGGTGCTATCCACATAAGACAAGCAGGTATAGTAAATTAAATTGTTTCATAAAATTATCATTTTAAACCAAATTTGTTACATGAAAAGCGATTTTTTAAACCAATCCAATAACAATACAAACATTTTACAAAACTATACACAAAATAGTAAACTACTTTACAATCCAGATACGATGAATGACAACACTCGAGAAAAAAGCAAGTGAAATAATGATTATAAACTAGGGGAGTTTAAATCTAAAGCCACCAGCGCAGCACAGGTATAAGTAAAATATATCCTCAATTTAATCCCCGGTAGCAAATATTAGCAACATAACTTAAGATATTGACCTATATACGAAGTTCAACTATATAAGATGATACCGCATGAACATCTCCTCTGTGACCAAACAATGAAAAATTACAAAAAAAGAAAAAACAAAAGGAAGAAGCAGATTTTTGGGCAGGTTTTAAAAAAAAGTAAGTAAAAGCATGCGACCGATTAAGCAAATCGATTTTCGGCAGCAAAACCTTTCATAGTTTCTAATAATCTTTCATAATAATGTTTTTTATAGCATCACTAAATTGTATATTGCCATAAAGAGGAAATGAATCCAAGTTGAGGTAGATACAGTTATTAGAAGACGGATACAAAGTAGTACGCAGATCCAACTGTTGCATTCTATTTAGCAACTGAATGAAAAAAAACAATCTATTAATTTATTTCGTAATGTGTTGATTGAACCCTTAAGTGTCAAATGTAGCAGATACCTTGATTGAAGTGTCAAAAGATCACAAAGAACGTTTTTACCCATAAATATCGAATGTATCTCTCGTATATAAAAAGTTCAAGCGACACCCCTGGACCCCAAAAACATTATTTATCTGGCAAATGCATCCTTTCCTACTGCAGCCTTGACATTGACATTTCTTCAAGCACCACGCACCATTCTAAAAGAAGGTGGGCTGAAAAAGGCGTGACTGATATTTTTTTGAGGTCCAATTCAGTCCAATTCAGAGAAGATAATAATTACTATGAAAATAGATTTAGCAAGATAAGACACCAAAAAAATGAACAAAAAAAGGTTCCTAGTCAAGACAAACTGCAAATACTTGGGATCCGTTAGAGTAAACTTTCCAAAGCTGTATCAGAATCAACTTTCTAAAAATTTATAACCTATTACTGCAATAAAACGTGAACGGATCGAGATAGGTCAAATTTTATTTCTTTACAGGCGCTGTTTTTGATTCGTTGCGTTACATGTTCTCTTGTAGCTAGACATTGAGTAGAAACAGGGATGTAGAGCTAGGGGGCTGTTGAACTTCCTAGCCCTCCTTGTTAATGCCAAAAATTGGCAAATATTGTTTTTTGCAACATTTTGGTGCAAGAGACCCCCCTGGTATTTTGATAACACTACACTATTGAGTAGAAAGACATAGGTTCCTATGTCTGCAAAATAATCGAAAGGAGGTAAACATTTATGGAAGCTCCACATTGACCTTTTAATCATCTAGATCATCTTTGCACCTTTCTAGAGGTTAATGAAAAGTCAACGATAGTATGAAGGGATCAATGCCTGACTTTTCGTCCGACCACCCTTTTGAAAGTGAAGCTAGTTCTGTTGCTGTTGCTGTACGGTACTGGATCATTGCACTCCCAGCACAAATCTTTCAGCATTACGTAAAATATGGTGCAATTTTATGATAAAATATTTATGATAAACTGAACTGTTTTTCTAGAGCTTATAGATAATAACATTTGGTAGAAGGTATAATGAGCCAAAGTCTAGTTTGACTTGGGAACCCTTGCAATATGATCTTGAAATCTTAGATTTATTGTTTTGCTATGATCAAGCATGGCTGCAACTTTAAAATCTGTTATCTGACTACAAGTAATGTCTCATGCACCTTAAATCACAGGCTCGAATATTATAAATCTAAAATAAAGTTGTTTTGATATCTTATTTGCTCTAGAGTGAAAGGTGCTGCAAAATGCGAAGTACACTCTTAGGCTTTTGACTTGAAGAGTTTGCTTATAAAAGAATGCTAAGGAAGTTAAAGCATGACCAAGAGTGTGGCAGATGGCGATGCAGCATTTATACCTTGTCGACATTTTCAAACGATTCTTCAAGTAGCTTGACAGCTGATAACAATAATTATAAGATTTCTTATCAAGTTTAGCTTGATTTGGGAACTCCCTTCTATATGCTAATTGAAAATCATAACTTGCATTGCTATTAAATCATCCACATATATTGGGAGCAAATAGTTGCAAGATACAATAAAATTATGATATATAAAAGAAATCAAACTAAAAAGAAAAACTTATAGAAAGTTAGTTATTGTGAAGTGGAGAGCAAGAGTAACATCTTAATCTTTTGAATTAACTATAATAGTGAAGTGGAAACGTGTGATTTTATGGATTGTTTTTGTCATGAAAAAAGAAAATCAAGAAGAAACTAATGAATGGAAAATTGCCTAGTGTGGATCCTTATTCAAATTTGTTTGTTCCGATTTAATTGAAGCTAAGATCATTTTTAATCAAGTTTCCAGCTCAAAGCAAAAACATGGAAAGGTTCACAACAAGTCTTCGCGCCGTTTACGAATGCAATAGCCATGAAACTGTTTCTATATTCTCAAATAAATCCCGTCACAAATTATTAAATTATAAATCAAATCACTTACAGATTCAATGTTTGAAGCTGCAAGAACTCTTCGTTGAATGTTCCAGAGCCAGTTTAAATGATTTCCCAGCTCACTATATCGATGATCTTATTTCCGAATTCTTCGTGTCGACACGGCATTGTTTCTCTGGTCCATTGTTGAAATTGTTGCTAGAATGACTTGTAGCGTTTGTGATCAACAAGAATTACAACAAAGACTTTCCTAATCACAGCCACACGATAATGCATCGACTGGTAAACATCCTATTCTTCAATGTCAAAACAAATTTAGGCTGCCGCTTTTCAGCTGAAATACGCTGTCCTTCTTTTTTGATAATTTACATGTTTACAGCGATAACAACGACCTGCTTACTTGAGAAACGGGGAGTACTGATATGACGGAATATTCGTGTAGTTGCTTGTGAGACTACAGCTGTCTTAACAATACTCAAAAAACAATCCGAGCTCATTTACAGGCCTTTCAAACATCAAACAGCCAGACCAGAGCTAGAGAACATACAGAGGTGTTCATTTATGGCGTTCATTTGCACATCTGTAACAAAAAGGCCATTGATACTGTTCACACCAATTTGCATTGAATAATGACATCTGCGCAAGAAAGAATCAGAGAAAATGCAAACCGCATAATCGTCATTATGATTGTTCTGATCATAATCAGAATCATCATGATTAGAATAATCATAATCATCATGATGGAATCCTCGCAATCATTATAATTACCTCACCATCGTCATCTCCTTATCAACAACAATACTCTTGACTCTCCCAGCAAGGGCCTATGCTTAACAATAAACACCTGGAAATGGTTTCATTTAAAACATCAAAATAGCTAGGCTTACATTGTGTAAACCAACTGATGCCATAATGCTGGCATGCTTGAAAGTTTTGTTTGAGCGGCATGTAAATTACTCCGTATGAAATCACTTTATCTGGAATCAAAGATTATTAAAGCAGCTAATGAATGCATGGTGTTCATTCTTAAGAAAATTTTGCAGACCTCTTTTTCTCACCAAGGTTTATTGCGCTTCAAACAGATTCCAGATCCTTTGAATGAATAGGCGGAGCTCCCAGTAGAGTATTTACTACATCAATTCATCGCTGTTTGCATCTTTATCTCATTTTATGCACATGTAAATATTTAAGGCAAGGAATCTGCTATCACCAGATCATCTTGTAAACTTGATAATGAATGCTTAATACTGTCTAAATAAACAATAATGTGTTCTAAGCAAAACCAAGAAGGAGCCATGGAAGCAGGAATAGCTAAAGGGGCTTAGCCCCCGAATAACCTTCAAAATATGAAATACTCTAGACATCCACAGTGCTGGTAGATAAATGCACACGCTCCAAGGTTAACAAAAGACAAAAAAAACCCCGAAAGCACAAAACATTCTCTATCAATAAAGCCGAAATAAAGCCGAACTGATCTATGTCGCACGAGTTTTCGAAAATGGCAACAACAAAAAACTAAACATGTAAATAGGGATCCAATTGCTATTTGTTAAGGGACGAAGTTAGGGGGAAGATAAGTTTCCAAACCCCTAGTCAACTTCGTTATTTACCAGTTTCGTTTACACTTGAGCTCCAAACATTTCAGCCCCCTCTTACAATCAAAATCATCCAGCTTTAAGACATATATTACAATATCCATAGACGCTTCGTACATCTTACAGTAGCCAGCTGTTTTAAAGAGTAATGTACAACGTGCACAACACCTACGCTGCTATCGAATTCCTTCTGAATGAATAATTAAACTTCTACTTCAGCAGGTCGCCTCGTCAGTTTCACAAGAGGTTTAAGGGTCGGATCAGGCCCCTGGAAAATTTTACGGAGAGAAAATTGTCTGCATGAAACAAACTGTGTCGGTTGACACAAAGACAGAAAATAGAGAGGGATCTTGGGGGGGGGGGGGCGTCTACTGTTTCGTGGGTCGGTTTGTGCAACTATTGTTGGATCCGAACATGTCATCTTCATGTCAAGAATTCTAGTCTGGTGTTCTCTATTCATTCGTTGATTTGAGCAGTACTTTTCAAGTATAAATCTATGTATTCCAATGCTTTTTCAGGTTATGTAGTCTAAATTAATCTGTTACTCTTTTATTTGAATTATTTGTGAACGGATGGCATAAAAAGTATGATCATGCGATGGCGTCATAAGGAAATCTAAACAGTGCTCAGGGCAGATTCAAAAGCATTTGATACGGTTAGATATCAACGAAGCCGATGTCATTTGGCAGTCTGTGTAGCATCATTCAAGACCATATTGGCAGAAAATACTTGGTTACGTGTGTAAAATACGGCCCCGTCTTCAGGAATACCTTTTAAAATGCAAACTAAGCGACGTCTGAAATATTTTCGATCTCTCACCCAGCGAATGAATTCATGAAGAAAAGCGACAGGAATACACTATTCATATTTCAGTGTTCATATATGTGTCAATGTGTATGATTCAATATAAGTCTTGCGGGGAAGTAGAGTTTGATATCGTTTTTAACAGGAACTCTGACACAGCACATTAGGTAAAGCAACTATAAAAATTCTCGCAAATGTTCATATCAGGGTGATCATCACTGATGTTACAACATGAGTTTGCTTGTAATTTCTCTGGCGAAATCTAAAAATCTAAAAATACTAACAAATTCTTGTCGTAAATTGTTTGATTACTCCTACATCCAGGGTAGACTTTTAACAAAGTCAGATTGTCTAAAAACTGCAAAGACGTGCCAGGACCGCCGAGAGAGAAGGGGCTTTTGGGGCAGGGCTTGAAAAAATGTTTCCTTCTTGCGGCCAGATAAAAAACATAAATAAATTTCCTACGAGAATGGGAGCTAAATTTGTTTTGTCTTCATGTTTTTTCTTTTGATGAACATGAAAGAAACAAAAGTGGTTCTTGCAAAAGAGTATATCTTTTCATTCAAAAATTCCTGCAGAACTTTATTCATGAAAAATTTCCTGCGACCCTCCAGTCACATGGTAAGTTTTCATGCCCTGAATTGGCCTACAGGGAAGGGGCAGAATTGGAGTGCCCCCAAGTATCATCCTGTTAGAAATTGTTGCGTTATCTGAATGAACCACAAAATATCAAAAAAGGATCAAAATACGTATTTTGCTTTAAGTCACAAGAACCTTGTCAGAATTTGTTGGCCTTATTAGTTAAAGAAGATAATTAGATAATTAGATTGACACTGTCAAAAGGCCACGCCCAAGTAGCATGCCTCTCTGAGGACGGACGAGGCAGGAGCTCCGGGTTTGCGCCCTTTTTAGATCCGGTTTGAAAGCTTAAGATAATTTTTCACTGTATTGCCCAAAGATCTCGTTTGGCATCACCTAGGCACAGAAGAAAGGGCACAGGCTAGCCCGCGCGGGTCCTGGCAATGCTTTTTAGCTAAATGTATGATAAAAACACAAAAATTATTGGTTTCAATGAAGACATGGCATACCGGAATTCAGCGGCTAAGGGCTAGGAGTTCAGGCACCATGTGCCTTTGGGATATGACTGTCAGCAAATTATGCTACTTTCCCAAAAGTCTGAATTAAAATAAACGCAAAATTAATGTATTTACGAAAAGTAAAAAGAACGAATTTCATCAAAGGCCAGGGCAGTTTAAAGTCAGACTTTTGTTTCTACGCCACTAAAATTTCCTGTTTTCTTCTTTAGGCTGCTCCCTAACCTGATAACCACAATCCTTGCCAAAATTGTTAGAACACTTGCGCAAAGCTAAAGCTTAAAATTTTGGGTTAAAATTTTGGAAGCAACAATGATATGGCATACTGGAAAAACAAGACCCTATGACCCTAGGACCCCTATGACCAATGATATAATGGTAAGGTAGGGTCTGGTTTTTCCAGTATGCTCAATGATATAATGGTAAGGTAGTTTTACATTTGCGATTTGTGTTTGAATGCCGTCAGGGAAAAGCGTTCCAACTATTTTTGGCAAGGATTGCAGCTTATAATTCTAAAGGTATAAGTACTCTTTCTTCCTTTAGAACAATGGGCTAGTTATCAGGCTAGCTGTTACCTGACTTCAGAACTTTTCTTATTTGCTCTTTGATTATCATTTCAGTTGCCTCGAAATGTTACGGCGAGCATATATAAACCTTTTTGGATATTGGCTCACGGGACCCTGATTCACGTAGATAATAGATTAACATAAATCAACAAGATCAAGTTTCTTCGTTGTTAGAAAAAATAACATAATAAAACCAATAATTCAAAATCTGGGGTTTTCACGGTAGGCCCTTAAGGTAACTGAAGTAGTGACCTTTTAGACACGTGGTCAAATGGTGTCAATCGAGGCCGCATGACAGGGTTATAAAAATAACAAAATGTACAATGCGAACTAGAACGCTACGTCTTTACAATACAACTTTGTACACGATATTTTCTAATAAATCTTACTGCTCTACCTCTACAGTCTTCCTCTCCTTTGTGCCTCTTGATTCTTCATTATTACCACTTAACGATACACGCTTCTTTGATTTTGTTTTTGCTTGATTAACTTGATTTAAATGATGGTTTTTTTCGTCAAATCTATTTACCAGTGTTCTCGTCTGAGTTGGCTTTTCTTCTCGACATTTTGGACATATGAACAACTCTGGGATATTCGAACGTCGTATTTTTGCGCAAGATAAATGCACCCATATCTGACATATCGAGCATTCTATCATTGGCCGCCCTGAAAAACAAAGCAACATTATACATACAATATAGCAATATGTAAACAATCCAGGGGGATGGACGAATACTCGTGGTTATAGTCGCATAACTCAAAATTTCTTTGGACAACCAACGTTTATTGGCCCGGTTTTCATTTGGGATGACTTGGGATCATTAGGAATTATTCCGTTAGCTTTGACTAAGCATTTGTGAGAATACCCACCTTCTCATTCATCACCAAAAATTAGGCTATCATACAAAGTTTTCATTTTTATAGTACCATAAAAAATCACCTTTAATTCTCGTGTCTTTACGAAATTTACCAAGCACCAATTTTTTGATAATTTGAACAGCAGTAGAGTATAACTGGTGAGTTAGAAGGTTGTCACGTCATTTGACAGGCTGTTTACTATAAGAAATCCAGAGGAGGTTACAACTCGTTGTTCAACTTGCTGATTGTTAGCCTAATTTTTACCAATCATGTCATTGCCAGGTTAAACTTTGACCAATCAGGTCAGGCCTTTCGAACAACGATAGTGTTAGTGTAAATAATACCATTAGGTCGAGGAAAATTCTTGACCGTTTTAAATGCCCACAACTTTGGCCATCATTTAACTACATTGACGGACACCTAGGGAGGGGGTAATATTGAGGACAATGATCTTTTGTTCTCAAACAATTGGAAAATCTGACGTCATCTTATCAAAACAATAGGCTTGCCCCCCATATTTGACCAAGTGTCCACCTATGTTAACCACCATAAACAAACAGTTGCTAAGGAACCAGGGAAGCAAATGAAGTAAAGACTGCAGTTTGTCAAACAACACAGAGATCAGACACATGATCTTTCAACAGTTGTGCAAATAATACTTATCAGTGCAGACAATCATCCCTGGCTTCTCAAACTCACACCACCGTAGAGGAAGAAATGCATGATGGGCAAACAGCCTGTTTTTGAGATACAGGGAAGAGATTGTGCTAGTGTAGAATTAGAATTTGTAGAAAGTTGCAATTGCTAATGGAGCTAAATCACAAATAAATGAATATAAATGAAAATATTTTAAACTTACCAGCAAATGGTTTCATACAAAAACAGGTAACTAGGTCCCATGATTCGTCATCTGTAATAAAAAATGAAGGTTATTAACATGGAAATTTCAAATCTAAATACTAGCTTTGGTGTCAGGCATCAATAATCTATATGATTAAAATTAATATTTTCAGAATCAATGTCAGCATTAAGAATATAAACCTTTGAAAAGAAAAATTACATTTTAAATGTCTTGGTAAAAAATAAAAGGATTATACAGCCAGACTGACAGTAATCAGTATTTTTGGATCTGCATTAGCTGCCTTTATAGTGAGAAACATATTATCACCTTTAATGAATGAATCCAGATAAAAGCAGTCTCGTGGTCTCATTATGCAAGAAATTTGCACTTTCAGCTATCCTGTTCTACATATCAAAGCATGGTACAGATCTGCCTATACAACGCTGATCACATATATGACTGACTATATGATAGATAGATAAACAGTGGTTTTCATCATAATCAGATAAAGATGCAGATGTAGGAAGGTAGTAGTCAATTGAGTGGGTGAGTATACTTCTTAACCAGCCACAAAACTCATCTTGATTGGTGGCCAACTGAATGAGAACACTGACTGCAATACAATATATATTTTGACACAAGGGCTGCAATAAGTTAAATAGAGTTTTCATTTAGTATATAGTTTTCATCCACCATCTTTTTTATCAATGACAAGTAACTTTCATATTAAATATATTTGCTTGAAGTCATCTTAACGAGTTATTTGAAAAAAACTTTAGTGCACTCTCTTTTCCTAAATCTGCCATTCTGACTTGGGAGGGACCGAAGCGTTTGTAAATAAATTTGTAGCCTAGGATGAAAGGCTAATTGATGTGCTAATTTTATTGTGCTGAATGAGGATAATGGCCTAAGGGGTGCACATTGATAGGATTCTCTTGATAAAAGAGAACTCCAGATAACTCTTTCCTGTAGAGCATATGAATACACAGATATATTGCAAGGACAAGAGAAAAAGCATGCAGTTCAGTGTTTTACAAGGTCAAGAGAGCTGCACATAGACTGCATTTGGAATGAGTGAATAGCAGGTTGAGGGAAGGTAGTTAGTATATTAGCATTGTTTTTTTACTTTTCATAAAGGAGGTTTCATTTGAAGGAATCTTGAAAAAAGGATAACATTTATTAGCATTCACAAGGTATACAAAAGAACATTTAAATTTGTAACAAAGGTTCCCAAAAACATGGACTAGTGTCAGTGAAGCCCTTTTCAACTGTATAGAACATTACACTCAACCATGCTCAAAATCTGTAAAGCATTAAATGTTGAGTAGGTTTGAATATCTGGTTGAGTAACGTTCAGTTATGATATCAATGTTCAGTGATGTTGGTGCAAATTTAACAGGCATAAAAAATGTTGTGTTAATCAATTCAATATTTCATCATTCTTGGTGTTGTCAAGCACAGTTCACTTTTTCAACTGTTCTCAACATTGTGAAGTCAGTTGAGGTAAAATTCGAATTTAGGTGCCCGTAAATATTGAGTTAAAATGTTCCACTTATCTTTTGCATTTCTCAGTGAGTACCATTGAAAATTGCTAACTAGAACTTATTGTTGCATACTGACTCCAAGGGACATACTGACTCACCTGAATCATATTCTTCATTTTGTACATTTTTACCATTTCTTTGTTTATTTCTTTTTCTTGGCTTCCTCATATCATCGTTTAGAGAATCTGATGCCGATGACAAGCTGGACCCTGATCCAGTACTGCTTGGACTGCTGGGGGTCCTGTCTTCATTACTGTGAATATCTTTTTTAGCCTGCAAATAATATATACAGATATTTAATGAAAATTACCATTTACCCATCTGTCTTGGTACTCATGCTATTTGGTGTATAGATAAGGAAGGTGTTAAGTTGCTTCTCAAAGAACCTCAGAGTAATTCCTGATATCTCCAGAGAAATAACAACTAAATATAATGACAACTATAGTATGAGTAGTTTCAACAGTAAACCAAACTCAGATAGCAACTTAGAACCATCCTGTTCTATATACCAAATATAGCATGTACAGCTTTATAAATTGATCTAAATAAAGTTTGCTTATTAAACTAACTTTGGGAAGGGTAGGGACAGCTGCCACAGAGCAGATTAGAAACTTTGAAAATCTAGATAAGTTCTGGTTACAGTCTTATTTAACGACACTTGACAAGGTCTGGTTGATCAGCAGAATGTGACTGGAAATGGAGCTTATTAGTAAATAGTCTGGTATGTTAAAAAAGTTCTAAACTGGGTGTTTTTGAAATTTCAATTACACTTTTACCCTAAATAAACAAGCATAAAAAGGCAAAATTTGAAAGTCTTTTCTTGTTAAGGTAAACGAAACTGTTATCCAGTTATTACAGATTTATCTAAAACCCAACAAATTAATTCAGTGCTTGTTGGAATCAAGTCTTGTGCTTTGTTGATGTTGTGGAAACACTGGCTTGCTCATTATTTAAACAAACATTGGGGAATGTATAAATAGAAAAAACTTTATAAATTACTTTTGCAGCTTCAAGCAAATTAATTTCAAGTATACTACTCAACTCATTTTCAAGCAAAGTAGAAATGTCATGCAAAGGTTTAAAAAGCAACAAGAAAAGGTTTTTATAAATGGAAGTACTTGTAAAACCTTTTCTCTAAGCACAGTCTTAATGTAGACCACAAATAAAGAAATCAAATTCAATTTCATTGTTTCTAAGGACACTCTAACCCAAAATCAAGTTTTATTCTTAAAATAGAAAGTACAAGCCCTCTCAAAAAATAGAAAGCCAACTTAATATCAGGCATTCTATAGGTGCAACGTTGTTGGGCCTATAATTATAAGACAATGCTCAAGCACACTTCAAGCTAGGCTCTCTTGAGATAAATTATCATGGGCTGAAAAACCCCATCAGACTAGCAGAATGTTCTAAAAAAGCTTATGAAAATCAACGGTTTTGATTTCAATATAAGCTTATCCAAGTCCTAACAAAATATCACTTCACCAATTAATCCAAACTTCTGGTTTGAGGCAATTTTTGACAAGCTTATTATACCTACCATTGCAAATGTCTAGTTTGAAAGACAAAAAAATAAGAAAAATCAAACATCTAGCTCATGACCTTAAAACAGTAATAATTCTGGTGCATCTAGTACTGTTTTGAGAGAAATAAATGACCAGCAAAAAAAAGTCAGGAGCCTGTCCTTCCCTGGATTCTGAAATCATCAAACCAGTTTTAACGGAGCTTCAATGAAACAGGAAAGTTGGCAATGTGGACAATATGACAAGTTTGAGAGCCACCAATAAAATATCAGTCCCACTGTCCCTGTGTGCAATAGGTTATGGGTTCAGCCCTTGCAAGGAGAGGCAATTGAGCTCAATCAAGCACCTACACATGCTTCTAGAAAGTTCTAGGAGCTTGATTGATTGAGCACCGAGCATGTTTATGACCTGAATATACTAAATATGAAAAACCAAATTATGCTTTATATTTATGATGCTCAGCTAAAAAGCACCTAGAAAGTTGAAGGTGCTCAGTTTGTCAAGCGCCTGCTTTTTGCTCCTCACAAGACCTGAATTGTGATGAAAATTATTATATGGAGTTGGCATACAACATAAAGATGGGTTACAAAAACACAAAAACCCTTGAATGAGCACTGTTTTTTATATAATAATGTTAATTTTAACATAAAACAATGTGAAGACATAATTGATAGAATTCTAAACAAGCTTAGTTAATATCATAGACATATTTACTGTCTGGTTCATAGTTCTGAACTTATTAGCTTATTTTAAATTCTGCACAAGGGTAAGCTTTGAAGCATACGCCTTTTCATCTTGCTAGCCAAAAAGCGTAAACACATACGTTTTCTGCATGTCTATGCGGGAAGCTTGACACAATATGCCATAAGCTTTTTCAGTTCATAGTTTCCAGACATGCCGTTGAGGAATGTTCCTCTTGCCCTTCTACTTGTACGGAGAAAAAATAAAAGGAACAGCAAAACATGCTGGTATATTCTACCTACAAATACATTGCGAAAAACATTTGTGAGGATTGTACCATCATTGTCAAGGATTCACAATTTATGTCAATGATTCTGGTATGAATAGCCATTTTTCTTGCTCCTGTCCAAGAATTAAATACTTGTCACGAATCCTTACCCTGGGTTCCAGACCAACGGTCCTCTAGCAAGGAATAATATGTATGGGGGTATTTGTGTATCTCTTCACAAAGTTTTCCTTCAAAGTCAGCCATTGCTAAGAAATTTTCCGAATGGAAGGCAAAAAAAGTTGAAGATTTCTCAACTCGAAACGTTCAAGGCATACGGGTTTGCAGAAAACAGAATAAACTTCCGTTTGCAAGACCTATGCCTCTGATATGGGGCGAAATTTAGCGTACACTAGTTCTTTGCAAGCTGACATCAGACAAGCTGGCACCTCCCACAGAGAAATAAGGTGTATGGGTAAAAGTTTTGATGTAATGCAGCGACTATGAACTGGGCTTTATGCTCACAAAGCTAGGGGAAATGCAATGCATAGAGTCCTTAAGACACCCTGCAGCTATGCCAATGTTTGAAAAAAGGAACATAGATTTGATGAGATAAAAGATATTTCATTTCATCTCATCATAATAATCAATACTTGTTTCATAACATATATATTGTAAGAAATGAGTGAGCTGGTTGACTAAAAGGGGTTAAACCTGAATCAGTGCGGCTTATATTACACTTTTCTAAAATAAAATAAAAACTAAAACAATATACATCTATTTTTGTCATGCAACAACATTGCTCCTAACTGAAGACAGATACACATTGACAGAAAACTATCATTTATTTGAGTGGTGCTTTCTTAAAGAGTTACTTGTTGTATTTACAATCATTCTTATTAAAAACTGCATTCTGTTTTAGGTCTGCGTTATTTGGGATCAGCAGAAACCTTTTAGGTGATGACAGGCATTTTCCAAATAAATATCTCTTAATATATTACCTTTTCTTTAAACAATCTAAAACTTAAATCAATTCAATCTGATAAGAATGGAAATAAAGAAATAAGCATAAATTCCATGACATTTGTCTCAAATTATCTACTTCCATGCAATAAACTAATTGAAAACAAAAACAAAATAATTGCTAAACTAAGGAAATGTTTCTTTTGGCTATGTACTCTTCAAAGATGCAGAAGTATTAGCAAAAAAACATTGTTGTTATCTAAAAATTTTCAATAATGTAACATGGTTGCTTAATATTTGATCACATTTTTTAGCTGATTGCCAAAGAAATTAAAAAAATTTGACCTGGCTTTGAAACAGGGCTTTAATACTCCTATCAAACAAAACCTCCGAACATTGGAGTCGCTTTTTGGTGGAAATTTAATGAATCAATTGATCCTCGTATCACAACAATGACGACATTCAAAACATGGACTCCGCCATCTTTAATAGCGACAAAGTGGCGTGTGCAGTAAAAGAAATCAAATAACTGTCCTGAAGATAAGTGCAAAGCTAAGAATGGTGAAAATATTGCAGTCCTACATCATTTAAAACGAAAAAGGAACGCAAAAGTAAGCACTGGGACGTCAAATGAGACAGAGTATTTTAGACGATAGCTAATCAATTATGTTGACGTATTAATCGCAGAGTGGATGAAATGTTTAATCAACTCACCTCAGTCGCTTCATATGCTAAGATGAAATTGCAGAAAGTTTTGAACTCTTCCAAAGACCGTCTACCCTTTTCACAGTCAAAGGCCTAAAAATAAGGATACTTCAAAGCTGACGATTTTTCTAACGTCGAATAGATACATCACAAGTTTTCACTTTCTTGTAGGAAACGTAAACAAATATTGTGACTGCTGTAAAAAAACAAACTTTATAAAGCATTAAATGTATCACGACTGGCATGCTAAAGCAAAGAATTCTTTCTAAACCATTTAAAATGCAAGAATTGTAACAAAACCTAGGGACACTTTCGTTAAATGGCCTGAGATAAAATCGTCGGATCAACGTTGAACTGAACAACAACAAATGCAACGAAACAATTCGAAAAAACTTACAGTGAAGCTTTGCTCGAGCATTCTTGACTTAGTTTTACCTAGAAGATGATTCAGGTGAGAAAATATAAACGATAACATCAATGAGACGTGAAGATGAAATGAATTTTACTTTAGATTTATGAACGAGCGGCCTAAGTCGAGCCAAAACATTACGACAAGTCTAGATCGAAATAAAAGAAAGGCATTAAATACCGTTAAAGGTCAGTTCATTCATTCCTGATGTAAGGCAATGCTTCCCAGTGCAGAATAATAGTTTAAAATGTATGCCTAGAGAGCAAACACTGTCCTTCTCCACGATAACTCTCCAACATCCACCACTAATGGTTTTCGATCTGAGTTAGAAAGTCTAATGAATCGTTGCCTCTGATTGGATAATTATGAACAATCAAAATAACTCTATTGGTTAAAAAACAATAGATTTTAAAATGGGTCCTGAAATTTTTGAATTGACCCGAAAAATTCAAATTGAGTCCAAAAACATAATGTAAACATTTCTACAAGTAAATTTTAGTTATAAAAGTACTGTTCGATATGTTTAAGTCGTTGTGAAATGGTTGTTCTGAAATAAAACACCATGCTAAAATTACTAGTGGTGTTCGACCTTATGTTGATAAACTTTTTATAAACTGAAGTCGATGACGTCAAAAGTTTAACATATGTTTTCATTGTGAACAATCAATTATCACTTGTGCAGCTCTTATTTCAAACTTACAACATCAATTCAAATCTTCCACATTTTGGATTTTTTGCAACTTTTTTCAGAAAAAAGGGGTTGTTTTTTTCTATCGACCATTGTCCTGGGGTCAAATATCTGGTACTCAACTCCAGATGAACTCATAGCAGCCCCAAATTCTAAAGAATTAACAAAGTTTGATTAAAACTTGGTGCCATGAAAATAGATCAGAATCAGGGACGCAAATCTTTCATTTGAGGAGGGGTGGGTCAGCAGAGCAAAAGAGTGCAGTGGGTCATGGCACCACCATGCAATTTATGATCGGCGTTGTGGACACAGTTAAGGGAAAAACGACTCAGAAAACAATAATCGATATTCCTATTTGCTAAGAACTTTTTCAGCTCTATAGAAGTTATTTGCAGATAATCCTTAGTACTTTTAATAACTCTATAATCGAACGGATAACATTTTTTGATTGATAAGGAGCGACTTTATATGGGATCTACACAGGCACCGCGCAGCCATTGGGCTAGCAGGGGCTATAGAGCTCCTCCCACTTTTTGCAATAATAGGCTACAATTTTTTGGAAGATTCACTCTAACGCAACTTTAGATAGTTTACTCCTATGTAGTAGTAGCTCTCATTGACTGGGAACTATTTTTGTTCTTTTTCTAGGTGTTTCATCTTGTTTAATGATATGACGTATTTTCTAACTTGGTTAGCTTGGTTTTTTATTACCCTCGTGCAAATTATATCTATTTTTATAGTTATTGATATCTTCTCTGAACCAGACTTTATATAGAAATTCAATAGAAATAAGCAAGCATTTTCTAAAAGGGGCGTTTGCCGGCGTTCAAGAGAGCGTGGCCTCAAACAAATTTCGGTCACATCCATTTCAGCCCCTCCACTTTTAGGGTAGTGTGCGGTCGCTGGATCTATGTACATGTAGAGAACCGAATAAATTACGGAACTTACTCTGCTTTGAAAATTTACTAAGAGTAGAGGCTAGACAAATCTTACAGAGTTCTTAAAAAAACGAGTGCAGACATTGCCTTTTTCTATGCAAAAGTGCTTGAAAATTTTCATAAATGAGAGTACGCTTTATATAACGATTATCAATCACCTTTAACCATGACTGAAGGATTCTGTGTAAAATGTTTCTCCCCGGTTCGATAAATTTGCTGCCTGAACACTAGTCTTCTATCTTACTTGGCATGGCCTTAACTTCATATGTTGTGAGAAAGTTTTGATAAAAAGCAGAGCCAGAGAAACAGGGGGGGGGGTTGGGAGGCCATGGCCCCTCCACTATTCTACGGAGCAAAGTAATTTTTTAGGCAAAGGCGGAAATATATTTAGTTTACCATTCTGTAAGTAACTATGCTTAGAAATTGATAATGGGGATTTGGTCAAAAAATCCGTAATGGTCCATGTTGTACAGCGAGTAACAGCTTGGCTAAGGAAATGGATCGATAACCCTGATTCAGAATAATTTGGTGCCTGCCCCAAATGATGGAGATTTGCTTTCCTATGGCCTACATTTGGCTCCAAAGGACTATTTGTTGACAGAAAGTCGTTACAAAAGAGAGAAATCAGCTGTTGAAGAAAAATAAATTGCTGGAAAGAACATTTTTGAAAATATGAGAAACGAAGAATCGACTGATCATGGGGAAAGCTTCAAAATTGATTGTATCAGTAGTCCATTCCTACTAAGAAAGAGAAAATCTATACGTTATCATAAATTCTATCAAAACTCATTTGATCAGTCCAGTTTGAAAGGCTTTTGATTCAGACCCCTTTTTGCATGATCCATCAATTTTAGTTGACAGTGCTTCTAATGATAATTCAATGTTGATGTTTTTGTTAAAGCTTGATTCATCTATTTTCTCCTCCATTTCATTTTGGCTCCTTTTTAAATCTAAAAAAGCAAGGTCATGTACTTACATTACAATTAACAGGTTATTCCAAAATTTTGCATGACCTTTCCTATTACATAGTCAACATTACAATAGACAAAATTATGCGACACATTGATAAAGGAAAGCTTGAAAATATTTCCTCGGATTTTCCTTCAGTCAAAATTCATTTTAGATACAGTTTCTGGCCACCCCTTAGATACAATATGTCTAAAAATTTTCTTCCCTCCATCCATGGTGACGGCCTTTCCTAACACTCTATATAGATAATTCAAGCTGATTTTATTCTTTTATTTAGCGAAAAAGTGTGGAGGCCATGGCCCCTGGTCCCTCCTGTTGCGCGGTCCCTGTAACCTATATCAATTTCCTGACGACTCCGACAAAGAAGTACAATTTTCGAAATTTTTCTATAAACCTGTTGCTTTTAGGGCTTTACCCCCAACCCACAGCAACGCTTGTGTGGTATTTTGGGTAATCTGCATCCCCTGTCTCTCCGGTGCGTAACAGCAATCGGCAATGACTGTGCATGAGCATCGCTATGCAACCAAAATAAAGCCCCTTGGAAGACAACAACATGGCTTCTCATAATGGCGGAAAGTCTAGTGACGCGCTTTGATTTCCATTAACGTAAGTACCTACTTTTCTTAGTAATTTCTGTGTTACTTTATGATACCTTTCTATTCACAATAAAGATTTGATAAGTTTTTATTCTCATTCGTAGCCAGCAAGGCCAATGATTGACGAGGAATGCTCGTGCTGGCCTCCATTCAGCCTGCGTAGACTGGGTATTTATGGCGGCCAACCAACCGGGTATGATCCTTTTGACTTTCATTTTATACCCCGAAGGCCCTAAATGATATACTGACAAGCTTGAGCCAGAAACAGTAGCTTTTATCCACAACATAGCTTGTATTTGTTTGTTACATTTACTCTCTTTTTTAAAATTTCGTCGGTAATATTAGAGGGAACGTTTCTTTCCTTGCATTCTTGGTGTGTATTGCAGTTTATGTTCTGTTATGCAGCGAAAGACAATTGTGCATAAGATTGTAAATATTCAATTGAACGTAGCTTTTCAAATATATCGCATGCGTTCAGGAATCTTATTGTGAAGTACTGAATAAATGAAGTGTATGGAGCAAATTTAATGAAGTACATTAAATGCCGTTATAAATTAGAATTAACCCAAGGTCTGGTTTGTCTTGCTGTAAATAATTTGATTTTCTGGTATGTGCAAGCTGCAAGTGGGACCAAAGTTGGCTGCAAGCATATATTTGGCTTTGCCTGTAAGATGGGGAGATTTTTTAGTTTGCAGAGTATGGTCGATTTTGACAAGACCTTTGGTGTGCCACCCAGGGGGGGGGGGGGATGGTTACTCAAACTTTTTATATATGGGGAAGTCCATCCGCAATTATCAAAATACAACCAAAAGTATCAGAATTTTTTTTAAAGAACCAAAAGTAACAGGAAAAGTGGAGGCAGTTACCTTCTGGCCTTTGCCAAAATTTCTTTTTTTTGATATTGTGATAATGAATGTAGCTGTGAGTTTGAAGTTGTGCTTGAGTACCATCGTGCAACTAGAACCTAAAACCTATGAAAAGGTGCTGTTTCCAATCTATTGCACAAATTCACTCTGAAAACTGCAGGAAAACATTTGTTCCTTTTCCTAATCTGCCCTTATGTTAGGGTTTTGCTGGAGCCTGAATTGCTACCCTTGGGTGATTAGGATCGTAAACTGTGCTCTAAATGTCATCTAGATGTGACACATTTGATCAACATTGTTTAATTTTGGGGTATCATGGAATGGGATGTCCTCATACATGGAAAATACTGATTGCATACTGATGTACTTCAAAAATTAGGAAATTGTATAGGAACTTGAAAGGAATGGCCACTATCAAGAAAATAAATTTGAAAGATGCCATGCCTCTCTAATTTCTACTATTGTTTCCAGCTGTATAAGGCGAAGGGATGGTTGCAACCTTAAAAGCTGTTTTGGAACCTCCACATGTAAAAAGTAGAAATGACCTCCCAGGGCTTAAAACGATGTCAACCCATTTTTATTATTTGCCTAAGGGTTCTTACAAACTTCCATCAATACATCGCAAGAGGGCTGTCCTCCTTGAAATTTAGATGAAACCAGGGCTGGCGAAACATATTTGAAAGTGGAGGGGCCAAATATGAAAGTCTTGAAAGGGCTTAGGTTAGGCTGATACCATGGTTGGCAGCAAGAAAAGTTTTAGGATTATTGTATTTTAGAGATGGCCAGAGACTGTATCTAAATGGATTTTGACTGAAGGAAAATCCAAGGCAATACATTTGTTCAATCAATATTACAAGTTTTACAAAAACAGAAGAACTATTAACAAAAATGAAAGCAAATTAAACAACTTGTACACTTGGGATATTGTTTTGTAACATCTGATCTTGAATTTTTCGAAAGAAAAGGTGCTTTTAACAAAAAATCTGGATTATAAAACTTTCAAACTGCACTGGTCAAAAATAGTTTTAATAGAATTTATAATTGCGCCTAGTTTCTTTCTTAGTAGGAATGGATTATCAATACAATCAAATTTTGAAGTTTTCTCGTTGTTACTTTTATAGAACAAATCTGCCCATTCTTTCTTTCTCATGTCTTCAAAAATTTTATTTTCATCAGTTTCTTTCCCTTCCACATCGCTAGCGATTTTTTTCTTTTTGTAATGTTCCTGAGAAATTTGTTGTTAACAAATAGACCTTGTGAGCCAAGTTTAGGCAATAGAAAAAACGAAACTTTGTCCGTCTGTGCTGGCACCAAGTTATTCTGGATCAGGTTTCTCGATCTATTTCCTAACCCAAGCTGTTACTCGTTGTACCACTTAGGCAATGACCGATTTCTTTGATCTTATTCCCATATTCAAATTTATATTTGTCTTCTATGGTAAAGACATAGCAACCAAGCTAAAGCTAAAGGCATCTGTAAAGGCATCAGGGATTACTATGCACAGTTACTTGCAGAATGATATACTATTTCCACTTTTGGCTAACATTTTCCTTTAGCTCTACAGAAAAGTGGGGGGCCATGGCCTCCCCGGCCCCCACCCCGCTTTCGCCGGCCCTGGAAACCCCCAAGCACAGAGCACAGCAGCCTCGATTTGTCTGAATGTAGCCTCGATTTGATGTTAGACATTTCAAATTTTGTTTTGGGGTGGACGAATGGATTTAGTGTTGTTAACTGGTAACTAGGAATATCTTAGACGCAAATATGGGTTGTGTGCAGTCAAAACACGAGGAGGCTGACTCAGAATCAAAGAAGGAAGAAACCGTTTACAGCTGGTAAATTTCTAATGTTTATTTTTCAGTATACGATAGAAACGAGCCGCTTTTGTCTGGATTTCATGGCAGTTTTCGACGAGATCTCGGGAGTGTGCACATTTGAGTGTGCGTCAAATTTCTCAGTGATTCTTGAGTGCGTGCATATTTTTTTCGGCACTTTTCCTGTTTACATCAATTTTACATCTCAGGGAAATTAATGATTGAGAGTTGAACTATGCACCTACCACTACCTTCAGTGGCAGTTACCCAAATTCTTTAAGGTTTGTCAGGTAAAGAGATGAGGGGGACAAAGGGGCAAATTTCCTAAGGACCTCGATGTCTAGGGAACCTCGCAAAGAGAGGAATTTCATTTTAAGAATATGATTAATCTGTTTATTGTTAAATGATAGTAATCAGTTTATAGAATGGAGATAATAGTAAAACATGACAATGAAACAATTGAAACAAAGTGATATTGAAACAATTGCAAGAAAATGACTGCAAAGAATATTCTAAAGTGTATTTTAAGCTAATCTGAAGAACGGGATTGCAACAATTTTCTACTCATTTTTGCCCCAGGCCTACTGAAACTTTTGGCAGCCCTGATCTCAAGTGGATCATTCAATTTAGAATGACACACTTTTCCAATCTCGGTCGCATACAAATTTAGAAAGACACTTTGCCATGTTTAAAAAAAACATTGTAATTTGAGCAAAATACAAAAACACATTCAAAGATTCCTGAGCGCATGTGTCCATCTTTCGTGTATGCAAACAGTTATGCAAATTTTTCAGGAGTGCAGCTGCCATGGAATCCATACTGATCATGTCCTGGCTCCAGTTCGCTAGGCCATACCATCTCAATTCCTTTTTCCATAAGATTTAATTTTGCTACAAAATAATATTTGCTTGTGATAGCTTGTAAGATTAATTCATGATTTTCTGAAATTAAGTGCTTCCCTTATTTCTAAACAACTACCTCATTTCATCCATATTATTTGTTCAATATCTGGATATCCTTTCTTTTCGTTTATTAAACTCTAAGGTAACTCATCTAACGTTTATAATTTCTTTTCGGGTACAGTCAACCAAGTTTGCTACATATACCAATTGGAAATTTATTCAAACATTTTGACCGTAAATTTTTGTTTAGTAATTTTGAACAAAAAACTTTTTAACAAAGATCCTCGGACATATTGGAAAGATATCAGCAGTTTATGGTGAAATAGCCACAAGCCATGATGCTGATTATACATTAAATACCAGCACTTTTCAGAAAGCAGCATTGTAGGGTATAAATTTTGCTCTCTGGAAATTCAGATCCATATTTTGTTATAGATAGGTGCAATAATTTACTAAAATGTTATGTTAACTAAATGGCAGGTGTTGATTCATAATTTTGGGTTGAAATTTATCAGTTGGACAAAAAGTAGTTTTCAATATTTCCTGTTTAAGACATATAACTGCTGAGGGAATAAGCTAAGGAACATTTTCATAATTTCAAAGAGAAAACTCCCTTCATATCCCAGACTGCAAAGTGAGGTTGTTTCCAACATGATCCCGCACATAATCATTTCAGCCATGTTTTTGATGTACACAAACCTCCTTTTTTCAGTCATGCAAGCATAAGTTTCTCCATGATAGTTGTACTGTAATTCAATGTTCAATGTCAAATATTGGTTTCAGCACACTTTAGGAAGAGCATTGGAAGCTATGAGATTCAAACCAGTTTCCTTAGAGAAAATGCTTAAGTTTTTGCACATGAGTATGTCAATGTGAATTAGTACTTACTTTTAAATAAAAAAAATCAACCAAGAAGTTGAAAGCAGTTACCCTTAATAACTGAAACTGAATGAATCTTATAGCCTAAATTGCTAAATTGAATCTTATAGCCTAAATTAAATCCATACAGCATACATTATCTGTTTTTAACTTGTATTACTTAAAAATCTTGCTACCTTACCACGGGGGGAATGGGGGGGGACTAGTTCCCCCCCCCACTTTTCCAGAAACTTGGTCCTTGAGATTCTTGCAAACCTGATGAGAAAACTTCAGGAGGGGGGGGGGGGCATGTACGTTATCTAGATTGTCACATGTAAATGACATTTCTTTGGAGACAACAGGCGTTTTCTCCAGAAGAAAAGTTTCAAACATGGAAAAGAGCGTGGTCCAAAAGGGCGTTGTCCCTGACACACCTTTTGTCCCCCCCACTTATCAAAGGGTTGAGCCGCCACTGACAGAGTTTATTCATAGTGAGAGAATCATATTTTTAGGGACAGACCTGGAAGGCCAGATCCTGCTGATTTTACAATCGAAAATCAAGATGGGACAGTGACAGGTCGGCTCCCAGGAAAAATTGATGGACAACAGTTTATAATAAAAAATTGCAAAGTAAGTGGTACTATTTCTTCAATTTTAAAAACGAAAAAATGCAATTTTGAAAAAAACATGTTAGATAGTTAGATATCTTAAGACATTACAAAATAATCTGACTTATTCAATATATGTTGTTTTGAACTTATGAAAAACAGATAGCACTATAGAGCAAAGAATTTAATTATGTCAGCTTAAGTATATACAGAATAGATATATCAATAAATAATGGATGTACAGCATCTAAAATTATTTGTAGGTGCATTTCATAAAAGGGTCTTTGAAATAAAAAATATAGCAATACCTTGGTTTTGTTGCATATGTCCAAACTTTGTGGTGTTTTTTGTCATAAAGGATTTCAAAAAATATGTGACTTGGTCATGTAATGAACTTATTAAGCCCAACTGTCACAATTAGCAATATATACCATACCCAAAGTTGGACAATGAATTTTGGCTCAAGTTATGAAGTATCTCTCTGTGACCCAACTATTGCAAGCTTGGTAGTAGGTGCAAGGTTTTTGTAAATTGAAGGGATTTTAAGTCTTAGAAATATCTTGGTGATGCACAGATATTGTGTTGTCCTTTAAGAGTCAAATTCATTTTGTGTTTTATACTTATCATATTGACCCAGTAAATTTTTCATTACATTTTTGCTCAGCTCCTTGTGATGTTGGCTATTTTTGGTGTCAACTTGAGTCTGTTTCTTGAAGAGAATTATAACTATATAACAAATGGCTCATATTAGTCATGTATTTGCTTGCATTAAAACATTCATAATTGGCTGTAGGGTCATTTCCAATTGAAATTAATGTTTTACGCTCATTTGTCATTGCAGGATAGTCAAATATATCTGTTTGACCATTCAGCTACAATAACTGTTGATGACTGTGAAAGGTGTAAATTTGTCTTTGGGCCAATCAAGGGAAGGTATGTACATGTGACTTATATAAATAGTACACCATATTGCCCATAGAATCTATTATTATACAGTCAGCCAACTGAATCATGACCTTAGCAGAATGACAAGATTGCAAATTTCATATTTGGTTTTTACATACAACAAAAACATAAGATGTAACTTTGTTGATTTTATGTGTTACAAACTAACTTCTTTCTGGCATGTTAAAATTTACTAAAAATATAAACATGTCATAATAAAATATGAAATAATATAAAATTTACTAAAATTTACTTTGTCAAATAATTTTAGGATGTAACCTAGAAAGCTTTTGCTCGCAAAATATTGATTTTTTCAAACCAAAAATATGATAAAGCATTATCTATCTACTATAATACTGATTTATTTAAGTTTTGATTTGTTAATATCTTTATTGTCATGTTAAAGTTTTTAACTTTTTTTTTGTTTGACCAATTGAATATACTTGGATAGCATAAAAATCTCTAATCTTTATAATTTCAGCATCTTTTTTCGAAATTGCAAAGACTGTCAAGCAGTTGTTGCCTGTCAGCAGTTTAGGTATGAGTGATCTGCTATTTTAGTATGTTACCTTAAAATAAAGTGTTGATTATTGAACTTTACAAATTTACTAGTAGTCTGGTATCAAATGCATAATTATTGTGATTAAAATGAAAAATGGGTATTTTGCAATTGAAAATTCAAGGCTGTTTCCAATAGACAAACAAAGTGATTGACTTAAACAAAGTCTTGTTACTGCAATCATGACATGTTTTTAATATGCCCATTAAAATTATTGCTGCCTTTTTATGCTATGAAGAAAATTCATGATCAATGAAAAACAGAATGATTGAAATTTAAGATTAAGTTAAATTTTGGATCAGAGGCTTTTTGGAAGTAAATCTTTCCACCACAGTGTACAAGTTGTATCAAGAACTGTCAGCAATTAGAAAAGCACACATTCAAGTATGGATTGGAAGCCAGTAACTTTTCCTGCCCAAAAGTCGCATTTGTTACAAGAAGACATTGCCAGCAAGTAATGAAATGCCAGAAAATGATGCCAGTTGTTTGTTTATATTAACACTACAGAATATAGAGAGTTGTATTGTGTTCAAATTCTGTTTTAAACTTTTTAACTTGAATTTGGCTTTCTCATTAAAACAGGACAAGAGATTGCAAGAAACTAGACATTTTCTTGCATTGTGTCAGCCAGCCAATTATTGAAGCATCAACAGGAATGAAGTTTGCCTGCTACCAGTATGCTTATCCAGAACTCAAAGGTTTGTGCTTTCTGTTTGTGGATTGAAGATGAATTTTGAACGAAGAAATCTTTAAAATAAAACAAAAAACCTTTAATAACAAGTAAATGGCTGACCACTGTCTTATAGAGAACTGCAACTTAAATTTTAAAAGGTTTGGCACAGGGGGGTTTACAGATTGACAAACCTGGAATCTTTGCTAATACTGTTCTAGAGAGAAAATCATGTCTCTCTGCATACCTGAGATTTTTTAACTCTTATATACAAAGACTCCGAACTGAAGATACAAAACGACCTTGCTACACATTTTTTTGTAAAATACATTCAAAAATGAATTGATATTTCACTTTGCAATATTTCTCTTTGTTTCATAATAATTTCCACTGCCATTGGCCCAAAGATAAGTTTTAGAGTTTTAGAAAATTTAGGATTAATCTTTGTCAAAAGTCTTAGACAATTTTTAATAAGTAAAAAGAATTGGCTTGAGCCAAAAGTTTATTGCAACAAACAACTTGTGAACATACCTTATCTAGAATCTTCGCAGCCTCAAACAACTTGTGAACAGACCTTATCTAGAACCTTTTGTCTATAAAATGTGTATTTTTTATTATTTTTAATATTCTATTAATCACGCATTCTTTGAGTAGCATCCTTCGAGATTTTAACATTAAGCAACTTTTTATTTCCTCAATAAAATATACAAAGAGAATAATCATATTTGAATGAACGATGTGAAACTTCATGGAACTGTGAAGGGATTGTTTTGCCTCGTAAAATTTATATTTTGTCTTTGTATGATGTTGGCAAAGGTCGATAAATGAACAAACAATAGTTTACCCTCACTTCAGCCTCAAATTATCCAAACTTTTATTTTTATCAAGAGAATATATTGGGATGTAACAATTTTAATTGCAGACCAGTTCCAGAAGGCAGGTTTAAGCTTGTTTAGTAACAATTGGTTCAATATACACGACTTTACGCCAGTTGCTGGTGAAGCCAACTGGTCTCTCCTGCCAGAGACAGCCACTGTAGATCACTATGTCCCATTTCCAAATACTGAGGAATTCAATTCAGTTAACGTTTCAAGCAACGCAGATGAATTTGTAGTGCCTGTAACCAGAGGTTCCAGGGAAAAGAAGTACGATGAAGTAAGCTATTTTCATTTTTGTTGATTGTTTCCAATGTAAGATGGGCTGGATCTGTTTTAAGGGTAGCACTGCTAAATGTTGGCTTAGTTTTCAGGTTTTATATAGAATTATGGGCTGCTGTTTTTCTTCCTTCCCTTTAATCTTTTCCATATGTTTTCTAGTCTTGCTTGCTGCTATTTTTTGGAAATGCAATCACAAGATGTATGGAATTTACCAATGAGTTGAAGAAAAAGGTAACAATTTATTTTGAACTATTGCAAAAATTTTCGATTTGTTACCATATTTTAATGCCTTTTTCTAAAACCTAACTGTTGGTTTCTCCATGTATTTTCAATTCTGATATTTACTCAAGCTTTCATCAACTGACATGAATTTATGTTTTTTCCAGGCAACGTTTGATATTGTGCAAACTAAAGAAGTAAAGATGACCGCAGAAGATGCTAGTCGCATTCTTCGAAATGAAAATTTTGCCGACGCTGTAGCTCAAGGTATGCTCATATTCATATAACAGTTCTTACTGGTTTGGTTTTCGATCATTATCCAAAAAAGTTTTGCTGTTTCTATTTTATACAAGCTTCACTGCAATTGATTCTTTAAAAGGCGTATGACAGCATGTCTGCATTGAATTGGCTTGCTAATAATTGATGTTTAGACTAACGCGTAAAGGACCAATATGAAAGGCTTCCAAATTTGGAAAAATGTTAGTTACAAGACTAATTGTGTATCATCAAAAGTGATAGAAGGAACATATTGTTATATTCAAATTTTGTACTCAGGTGCAGCTTTTTCGAGACAGCCTCATGAAAAGTCCAAACTTTGTTTTAACGGGAAGGCCTATACGAAATCAGAAATTGTTTTTCGTAGCTGTATTACTAGACCATCTAGAGATCATGTCTGCTATAAATTTTTTTAAGAAATTACCACTCCACCCCTACTTCACCCCCTCTTTACCCCTCATAAATTTTTAAAACAGTATATATTGAATAATTGTATCAACTGAAATTGGCATTTCTCCAAAGTATGAGCATTTCTTTTTTATGTAGACCCTCAAATTTAATGTTTTTGCTGCTCCTACCATGTTATTATCATTTTCTTAGGGCCGGCCGTTGGTGTTGAAGTGAATGGAGAAAATATGATCCAAGCTTGCTTAGATGTTCGGTCAGACATGCGCATTGAAGAGACGGTATTGCATATTTCAGGAAATAAAGATGAAGCACAAAGGGAGATAGATGCCTTTTATAACTTCGTTGATATTACAATGTCATAAAGAACCTTAGAGCGCGGGATGGTTTGTGACGTGAATTTTGCTTTGAATCCGATCCTTGAGTCTACCTAAAGCAAAAATGCTTCTTTTGTCTTGGTTAAAGAAATCCTTGATTTTTAAACGCAGTGCTTTTAGAAACTGGATTTTCCTTTTCTGTTCCAAGTGTGGTAGACCGTCTCTAGGGTACAATGTTTTAATAATAGATTCGTCTTGCCATAAAACTGTGTTGATTATAAAAGATAGCCAGTAGTACAAGTATTTATATATGTAATCCCTGGTTCATTACAATTTGTGAAAAGCTCACACCTACACTATCTCATTGCCCAAATGCATGGATTCAGCTCCCTACAGACCCTCTAAAATCCGTAAACCTTGTCTTGCGATTAAATTCCCTAATTTTGCTTTCGTGTACTAGAAGGCCTAGCCGGTTATTTCCGTTTAGTTATACCAATGTTTTATTTATAAAGATGACCACATTTTATATATAACGATACTTTTAAGATTTGCAGCATTCATTGCTATAAGATGGCATTGACACCTTATAAAAGTGTATTTATGCATTTTGCGAGCGAATATGCTTGTAAAATTACTGCTGTTGCTAAATTAAGAGTTTGTCCGATTCTTCAACATCCGTTTTGAAATTGTGTGCGTATTTATCTAATGTGGATTTCTAGTCAAATACATAAATTTTAGTAATTTCATTTATATTATCTTTGTTTTAATACCCATTTAATTGCCCATACTACAGAAGAGGTTTCGCCTTTTTTGCATATGAATAAAAATTACATTTTTGAAAGTTTTATCCTTCACCCTATCTTATATGAATGAAGTTACATTTTTGAAAGTTTTATCCTTCACCCTATCTTATATGAATAAAGTTACATTTTTGAAAGTTTTATCCTTCACCCTATTTTATCAAGTACTGACTTTAAGTTTTGAGTGTGCCCTTTCTTAAAAGTGACTTTTTAATAAATCGCTTATTAGCATTTTCTGCATAATGCTGTCTCTTGGTAGAAGATGCTATGTTAGCCGTTTGTAAATTTACAATTAGAAACTGTGGTGTATAAATTCTTAGTTCATTAAGGGATTGATAGTAACTAATAACTTGTTGTAATTATTCAACAAACAACTTTAATGTAGATTAGATTTTCGATTGATTTTTTCAGCCTTCTTTTAAATCGGTGAACTTTGTGAACTGTTAGGCATCTTCTCGTATAGACGAAGAGGTTAGTTCCCATCTCAGTCTGAATTGCAGCTACAGCGATTCACGTTTCACGACAACTGTCTTTTGGACCAACCTTTAGAAGTTTGCTGCCACGTCAAATCGGCAAGGGCTTGCACAATCACAATCACATCAAAACCAAAGAGGTATCGAGTTTAGGGGTAATTTATGCAATTTTTTTTTATAATTCCGGATAATTTTGTAGACAACTTAGATAAAATTTAGGTAAGATTTATAGGATAATTCATTAATAAAAAAGTCACGAGTCTATAGAGAAAAAATTTCCAAAAACGAATTTTTATGATATTTATTTTGATATCAAGAGGCTTGAGTCTTTTCTGTATACATTTTTCATTTCAGTTTCCGAATACCCCCATCTTTGCTGCCCCTTTTTTCAAGGCAATGCGGATTGTTAAGTGCCCCTTTTTCTAACCCATAGAGCCCCAGATCTGACACTTCTTATCCGTTTCCCTTCAACTTTGAAATGCTCCAACATCTATGGATAAGCTTGAGGTATTTTCTATAGAAAATGTTTTATTACCTGATGATCGCATTTAGCAAGTCGGGGAAACAACTTAGTCCTGTTATATACACCAAAAACGTATACAGCTCTGACTATAAGACGGCATCGAGCACTTTATGTTAGACAGTAAACAGTAACTTTCATTAAATTATTATAGATATGTGCCTTAAGCTTCGTTCTAATTGTTAATGCTGGTGCGGAAAATAGAGCGAGCGAAGACCTCTTGGGGAAGGGGGAATGTTGTAGTTTTCCCAAGAAACTGCGGAAGCTTTTCATGTTTGCTTGCAGCGCCATCCAAAGGGGATTTTCGTATATCCCATGTGACTATCAGAGTCTCTGAAACTCAAGACAAAGAATTTTGCTTTGAAGAAAGGGTTCGGATTCTAGGCCTCCTTGGTTTGAATGGCTTACAAAAAACCGAACTTTGTGTCTATTTAAATAAATTGTAAGATTGTCGATCCGCTGTGTGGCAAAGACGAAGAAAATGCAGCAAAATATAAAATTGCAGACAATTGTGAGAAGCTGCGATCTATCTTCAGCACAGGAAACGGTTTACGAAGTTAAGAATACAACTTTTCGGGCGCTGCTTGATTTTTCCCCAAGATGAAAAAGGAACCCTCAAACGCCAGTAAAAAGGTATGTCTGATTTCTTATTCTACGATTCCGCTGGTTTACTCTGCTAATTAACTAACCTGTGAAAATCATACTTGAATTTGATATTTCTAAAAAGGCTTATATTTCGATTGAGCTTCTGCACGGGGAAAGGATCATCAAATGCAAAGAACTGCTAAATGCATTTACAACTCTGCCCTTTGGAGTTGATCGAGAGTGGCATCTGGTTGCTTGTAAAGTCTATACGCATAGGAAGAAGCACGTACTTTGTGAGACTGATAGAAAGCTCTTGGCTTGAATTTAACATAATACTGCATTTATTAATGGAAAAGAAACAGAAAAAGACAGAAATACATCATCTGCATTGCATTTGTAAACATTTCTCTAGCCTAGAAAACTACTAGATCTGTTGCTACTTCCTAATGCTTGTGACATTGACATAAAAATTCGAAAGAACCAAAAGACCTCACCAACAATATTTTGGTACAAATGACGTTTGTATACAACATATGTTCGCAGTCTTGGCGTTCTCTCCTACTGGTTGGCGATTTCATAAGGTTTCAAGGAGGAAAGGTGAGGAGATTTTAGGGGTGGAAAACTAAGCTAAATTCAAATTGCAGAAGTTTCATCAAATTCACAAGAAAGGTAATTTAAATATAATTGCCGGAGAAAAGTCGCAGGCTTGTAGACAGGAAACTCTTTTCACTCCCCAAATATTTTGCCCCCTTTTCCATGTCATTATAATTCAAAATGAGGTCCCCTTTTTTCTTTGCCCCCTTTTACACCTTTCTACGCCCCTGTTCAATATCAAGAGCTAAATGCACTCTTCAACGAGATGATAAATTCTATTGGCAAGATGAAGGTATTGAAACTTAGTTTACCAGCCTTGAGAACGATTCATGGAAAAGTATTACTTCCATTTAGAGTTGTCTACACAACTAAAATACGCCTAAGTTACTTTGGATTCGAGAAATTATTATCCCGAACTATAACAATGTTACAGCTTAATTTCATACATAGTGCATCCGTTAACATTCAAAGTACAATTTTTTGTTTGTTTGTCATTTTATTATGCTTATCGTACTAAAATCTTATTGAAGTATTATTATAATTATTCAATTCATGATGCAATTAAGATTCTACACGTATGAGATGCTAAGAGGCTGTTAAAACTCGAACCTTTAAGACCTTCCGGCCTCTTAGAAATTTACCTTTAAATTCATAAGGGCTGATTTTGAGGCTGATTTTGACATTGACGGTGTTCAAAATCAATCAATGGTCATAGTTCATGAAACTTTAACCCCCTCCCCCCCAAAAGGAGCAGAAGGCTCCATTGGCACAGCTTTCTCTATTCCCTCTCCTCCGGCCCCCAAAGGAGCAGAAGGCTCCATTGGCACAGCTTTCTCTATTCCCTCTCCCCCGCCCCCAAAGGAGCAGAAGACTCCATTGGCACAGCTTTCTCTATTCGCTCTCCATAGATCAGCGCATTAGTATAAGTTCATTATGGGCTATTCTCAAAACACGCGAGGGTACACATAACCCCAGTTATTGGGGAAGTTCGCTACTAACGTAGACCCACAACACATTATGCCTCTAGTCACAGTCGCAACTAGAAATATACCAAAACGTACAAAAATATGTCTAATTGCTAAAAGTTCATACGAAGACTAAATATATGGCTACCTTTTTAACTCTGCTAGAAGTTCTTCCACTTCCTTATTTGAATCGCTCTTTTTACTTGGCACAGACCATTCCACTGATTCACCCTCCAAAACTTCAAAATTTGTTCTGCCATAGCGAGATCCAGATATTGATAGGTTCTTAAGGTATATTTGACCTAAAACAAAGAAATGTTTTAGCCTACTTGATTTATAAATTCTCTACGATTTTTAAAATAATTTGAAATTTCGTCAAACTGTTTAAATTCATACATTTTCAAATTTTCCAGTTGCTTCACTCAAAGACAGTGGCTTTAAATCATTTGCTTTCAGCTTGCATTGAAAGTGTGCAAGATGTATACATCAACAGCTCAATAAAATTTAGAAAAATTTAAAAATCAGCGATGTTCCGGGAACATTTTGAAACACGTGAGCACCTCGAAAGCAATGAAGTATCATAAGAGATGGCGTGATGAAAAATGTTGGATTAAAAGAAATAGGGATATGAAAAACACGCTCACCATAAAAGCGATGGTAGGTTAAAGGGGTAGGGGCACGACTTCCCACGAGGTAGGGGTACGATACACTTAATAAATGACAATATATAATAATATATGATGATGATGATGAATAATTCTTTGCAACAAAGTCTGCTTTGAAAGAAAACGTCTACGTTGATGGTCCCAAGCACAATTTTTGGACCCTCCCTCATAAAAATAAAAAAATTGGGACTAATTCATAAACGCAAGGTTTTCTTGATTCGCTGTGGTTTATCAGGGTCTTTGAGAATAACATAAGTAATCGAAAACACGTTAATCGACATTTGTCCATATAAGACTGCAAAAGAATGCAGAACCATCCCTTGACCAACACAGTGCAAAGTAAATAGTATAAAGGCTGTAAAGATGCTTTCTCACCTGAAGAAACAGTAAATTTGAACATTGTCTCATTGTTAGCCTCGTTAAATTTGGCTTCTATGTTACCAAGGGCCACTGGGGTGTAGAAGGACAACCAGTAAGGAACATCAAATTTGGGTTTAAATGTAAGCGTCGCATTTGGTGCGTTGTATTGCTGCCCTGATAATGATAACGGCAAGTGCCAAAGCATTAGTTGGAACGAATAGTGACTAGTTGCCCAAGGCAGGCCATCTAGGCCGTAGTTTTCTGATGACGTCAGACCGTGAAAGTTCCACTGGTCTTTCAAGGTTGATCGGTAGTGGTCGAGAGATTTCTCTGCTTGATGCAACGCGATTCTTGGAGGCATGTCTGTAGAATTCAAAAGAGTTTTAATGTCACTCCAAGCTACTTCATTGCAAGTACGATTGAAGATAGGGAAAGGTATAGGAAAACAAAGCATAGCGGTCAAATCTTAGAATTATCAAAAAGAGGATTAGTCTAGAAAAATTTACGAAAACGCACCCTCGAAATTTTCCCGCCATTTTCAAATTTTATTAGATCCCAGTCTTACCGCGTGAGTGTATTCGCCATTTTCATTACATAAAATTAGTAATAATGGTCAATTATCTTTGGACAATCATGATTGAAATTACTTTGGGCTGTTGCTGAAAATTTTTCACTTTTATGAAATCAATTTTGATTCCAGAGGACAAAGATACATTTATTGAGTTCGAGGGTGAATATGAAAGCCTTCGTGCCGTTGTGATAATTACATTGGCGATCACAGCCGAATCTAAGGCTGGACAGTGAGTGCATCTTTGACGGGATTATGAACCATTCCTAGATTTAAGGTAAGTATATAATTGATTTTGTCTAAATGTGAAATGTCTAAAGCGCTTTGGTGGGTGGGGAGAGGTAAAAACGAAATTTACCTGGATCTCGACACGAAATTTAGCGATCATTTGCGAGGTGTTTTTTATATTATTCTTTGCAATCGAACAGTGGCGCCAATATAGGTTAAACAAGTTTCACCCGTCGGCTTTTTCGACAAAAACCAAAGACAAAAAGTTCGAAATGCAAAATTTCCTTGCAATCACTCTTCAAAATACTTTGAATTCAAAAGTATTATAAGAAGGTTTAAGACACAAAAAGCTAAAAATTGAGACATCTTTTTGGGACTTATTAGACCGTCACTTGAAATTCGCTAGAGTATACATACCAAGATTCAGCATTAGTGTCGACCAATCTGTGCTTGCTGTCATCCAAATGGACTCATATTTGGTAATATTCTCCAAAGACTTGCACCCAGGCTCTTCCCCAAGTATTACACTTGTATCCTCTTGTATCACCTTTTTTGATTCGCTTTTCGAAATAGCCTGAAATAAAACGAAACTGTATCAAAATATAGAACATTTTATGAAAATTCTACACTCCTCAATCAGTTTGGAGACAAGGCTGCAAGAACTGTGAATGGGGGGGGGGGTATGGAGCACATGAGGGTGAATTAGACGATCTACCCCTGTCTTTAAGAAAAAGCCAAATATTTCGGCTTGCTCTGTTTTCTCTTGAATTTAAGGGTTTTAGCCCCCTTACCCAAGCAAATTTTTGTCATTGCTTTTTCAAGAAGCAGCATTTTTTAATTGATTTTTACATGTGGAAGGGTTATGGGAAAGAAAGTCTAGCAGTACGAGGAATGATATACTTCAAAATTTTTAATGCATATTACCTGTCAAGCTATAAATAGTCTTTCTTCCTTGGTAAGCAAAACATAGAAAACTTTAGCTACCATTATGATTTACTTTAAAAAGGCATTCACGTTGCAAAATTTGTGATTCCAAGACCTTTTCTTTGATAATTTATGTCAATTCTCATTCGTCTTGTAAAGCTTTTTAAGAAATTTCCTCATTCTTTTCTTGAGCACCAGAAGGCTTTTCAAACATAAATCACAAAACAACATCAATACAAAATATGGTTGCATTAAGAGAAACATTAGGTTACCTTCAATCCAAACGGCGTGTCATTTCGTTCTCTTTCTTTCAATAAATGCGATTTTAATTTATGCTTGTCTACGAGGTCTCCAAGACCAAGAGTGTAGGCCCAGACCTGTCCATAAAATGAGTCGGACATAATCCAAGATGGCGAGCCCCATTCGGCGTCAAACCAGGCATGGTAAAAGCCATCCTTATCGTCCCACATCTCAACTTCCAAACGAAGATGTGCTCTGTCGTAGGCCTTGCCTATTTCTTCAAGTTTAGCAAAGTCATTCTTCAAAAACGCCATCTCCTCCCCAGCTCTTAACGCGAGCTTCGCCAGTATGCTGTTATACACGCAGTGATCATACTTATCCAGCTCAAAGAGGTCGTACGTATCGGGCTTGCGGTACGGCAAATCAGTCTCCTCCCCAGCTCTTAACGCGAGCTTCGCCAGTATGCTGTTATACACGCAGTGATCATACTTATCCAGCTCAAAGAGGTCGTAGATCGGGCTTGCGGTACGGCAAATCAGTTCCTGAAATATGCAACATACGTTAGATATGTAGAATACAGAATCTAATTGTTTTGCTGTGAAAATCACTAGCATGCTAATGAAGATTGTTATAGTGATTGTGATTGTGATTGTGATTGCAATGGCGATTTGATGATTGATGATTATTATATTAATACTGATAATAACTATGATGCTGGTGATGATGATAATGATTATGCTGGCGATTCAATCAAATATCACATATAACAACATCAATCAAATTTCTTCAAAGAAAACTATTCGATGCCATGAGGAGATTTGAACTCATCGCTCTTCGTCAATCCTTCGTGGAGTCTGCGCGCAGGCTTCAAATTTGAAGCAATTTAAATTCAGTAGCAAACTAACCATGTGCTGCTTCTTTGATCAACCACGTCAAAGCCCTTGAGGCCACTGGATACATGTCGTCAAAAAATTTAGTATCGTTGGTCCACATGTAAATGAGGTAGGTTTGGACAACGAAAGCAACATTGACGTCTGTCATACTTCTGCCTCCTCCAACACCGTCTTTTGAGGTTTCTTCAAGGCAGCCTTGAGAAAGTGATTCTTGTATCATACCACTAATCAACTGGTGCTCTGCCCAAGCACGCATCACATTCTTTGCTAGCTCTAAAAGAAAATAGATGTAGTGACACAATCACGTTGGTCAGAAATCAATAATCGCTGAATCATTCAATCATTTCATTAATCATCAATTATCGTCCAATTTAAAGTACACATCGACTAGCATTGGTTTAAAAGAATAATAATAAGCTTTCTACATCAGGGACTATTTAGCAATGTCATGTCAGATCAACTGGTCAATAAAGAAATTTCTTGAAAAGTTTTATTAACATCATCACATTTCCATTGCTCTGGTGGAAATGGGTTTTCTTAAAGCCTTGAACTGTTCACAAGAGTCTTTCTATCTCCCACCCTATATCACGTCCTTTCAGAAAACTTTCTTTATCACAAATATGAACTACAATTACTAATCTGAGCTATAGACACAAAATGCAAAGAAAAACGTACCAGGATAGAATATGACATATGGAATGAATCTATGGAAATCGACATGAACCGGGTCAAAATTGACACAGTCGAAGGCTTCCCACTGCCGCCAGCGGCCATTTTCCATCCACATGCCGGAGCGCCAGTAGCTGAGGCTGTTCATTAAAATATCCTGTAAGCACTCTGGCAACATATTCACGCCATTAATGACTGGATCACAACTCTGATGTGCAATCTTGTCCTAAAGCGAGGATTTTATTAATTAGGTAAACTTTGGATTTTGTCTGGGAGGCTCTAAGAAGTTGATATAAGAAAAAGGAATACTGCAACGGAGAGAGTCGGTTGACTGATCTAAACGAGGCAAACCAGCAATTTGAATTGAGCCCCCGCAGTAGAGGAATAACAAATGTCAGCTTTGTTATTCCAATAAAAATTACAACAATGTCTACAGTGTATCAAAACTGCTCGAAATCTAGCATCTTACTCGGTGACAAGTAATTTTGTAGCCAGTATAAGGAAAAGAGGGGACAGAGTGTGCAAAAGTACTTCCTTCGACACTCCTCAGTCCTCACGGTATAAACATCGGATAACAACCATAAACCTATATCCAGGTACGAATCTAAATAGTGTGAGAGGAAGAATGCCATGTTTGATCGGTTCAATGTTTTTGACCAATACGCGGTTGCTAGCCTCTCAACTAGTTGAAAGACCCAACTAGTTCAAGAGAGAAAACAAGAGAGTAAAAGTAACTCTTTCTGGCAGCAGGCAACACAAGTTAGCGATCGCTGATTGGTCCAAAACAAGGAACCAATAAAGTGCATCATTCTATAAGATCACATTCCATTGCAAAGAAAAGTTGAGCTCGACTTTTTTCTTGTTTGTGAAAATGTTTGTCAAATGAATCTTACTGGTCCATAAAATCTGTCAGACATTACATTGAACATCAAGGAAACTTGACTGGATCAGTACTATGCCAATAAATCCATGGCCTTTCACACAGCATTTTTCAAATAATTCAAATATAGGTGATTCTAATTTTTACAAGTTTGAGGAGATTTATTCTAATGCAAAATCACAAACTACAAAACGAATTAAGATTTTTGGAAAAATGATAGTTCTTTGTTAAAACTGAAAAATTGTTACGACGGTATGATCAGAAAAGATATTATGGAACATTGGAATAGGAAAAAGCAAAACTGTAAAGTTACCTTAAAAAACATTGATCTTGGAGGAACAATACTGCTTTGAAACTTTACAATATCATGAACTATATCTGTCATGTGAGATTCTACATAAGATGCAACATCTTCGCTTGACTTGAATATGTTTGAATAGTAGTTTCCAACACGTTCATCGGCAATATCTCTGTTTGGATAATACCATGACAAGATTATTGTGAGAGTCCGCGATTTTTTCGCGGGAATTCGCGCTTTCACTGCAGCAGTGCCATGAAGGGCAGTTGCATTGACTAATGTTCCATTGCCAAAATGGCCTAGAACAGAAATACACTTGATCAAATTTTTAGTTTGCCAACGAGATTCATGTGAAAATAAAAACTTACTGTTGCTTTGAGAGGTAAAGCATTTTCAAAATAAAAGCAAGGGCTGGAGGGAAAATACAAAAGAGTTTTCTTGCAAAAACTTACTGAAAGATAGCAACCAAACATTTAAATACACTTGAGTGTTTTCTGCTGATCTAGCTTGCAATTATAAGAGAATGGCAGCAGAAGCAAATTTTACAAGATTTTGATGCGATTTTAATAAGTTATGTTTTCAACAAACCATTTTTCTTAAAGGTCTTCCAGATCTTCTCGGGGTGGTTCGTAGTTATGAAATGTACTTCATCATTATCGCTTCCCAAGACTCGAAGCGAAGTCTCTCCACTTTGTGCATAGAAGCCTGGTCTTTTGTGAGTCAAGGTGTTATTAACTCTAGTCCAGTGGCCCTTCAGGCCTGATATGATGCCGAACTCGTAAGAATTCAACGGCATGCTGTCTTTTAGCAGGCAAGAGAAAGGTCCATTCGTCGTCCACGACATGCACTTTGACTGTTTTGCGCAAGCTTCCATGCAGTCAGCTGGTGTTACCAACCTCGTATACGCAACTTCTGCATAGTTGCCGCCTCTCCGTATAGTGTCGTCATTATATCCCAGAGGCAGATTTAACATAAATGAAACAGCTACATCTTCATCAGTTGGATTCTCGATATTGAGGCTAAAGGTCACGGCAGGCACAGACGAGGCTATTGGGTCACGTGGCTTCATGCTTGAATGAGCATACAATGACATCTTGATTTCATTGATTGGCTGGAGTTCTGTTAACAACAAAAGCGCTCTGTTACAAAATATCACAAAAGAAAGATGTATTAAAGTAAACGTAAATTTTACATGATTAGATGAATGGCGAACAATGTGGCTAACTTACAAGATACGCCAGGCCTTCATTTATTTGTACAGACCAATGATAGCCGAGAATAACCTTTTTCAGCTCATGACACAGGGTTTTAGAACTTTATCGAAGATTTGTAAACTGACTTCTCGTGGCTAGAAGGGAAGAGGCCTAAATCACCTTTCATCTAGAAGATGTTGTTATGGCTCCCGTACAAAGGATGCCTCGATTTCCTTCCTTGAAGAGAGTTTTTTATTCAGTAATCACTCAATCGAATATTAGACGTAATCACTTATACTGTTTATGATTCGTTTCTCGTTTTACGTTTGGCCTTCAAAACCCCACCACATAAGACATTTGAAGGTCTGATTTCTCGTTGTAAGTAGAAGTCTAGAGTTCTATACAATCGAGAAAACACTCTACACAACTCACCGAAATCTAGCCTCGATACAGGAAATGATCCATAATATGACAGCTGCTCTACACCATCAAAGCCATGAGGAGCGTGTGTTCTTAGAACAGCTGATTTGTGATTGTCTTTTTGCTCAATCCTCACTGCCAGCAGCATCAAATCCAATGCTGTTTTGCTCAGTTTTGCTGCACCTCCTGGGGACTGGTTTTCAATAGTCCATTCATGAAATGTACCTAAAAAAAGCATAGAAGCAAACATGAAATTAAACAATAAACCCCCAATTTGTTTAACAGATTCCATTTCAGTACTAACCCCTTTTTTAAACTTTTGAGTATTTCAACATGCAAAAATTGAATTTAAAGGTTTGAAAACATTATGCCAAATATATAGTTTGTTTCAGCGACATCCTTTTTGCGAGTAATGGTTGTATAGAATCTGCAACTCAAACTTCTATTATGAATTTTTATATACCCAGGGTTTCAGAAATGAGTCCTCTTGGAGGTGAAGTGAACTTTAAAAAAGTGAGTGGGTGGCATGATATCAAATGGGAAGGACTTTCTTCATAGCAACATCAGTTAGAAAGAAGCCCCAAATCTGGGTATATTTCTGCTCATCTTCAGTCATTTTCTGAAGTTTATACCTTTACATTCTGAAAAGTGACAAATAAAAGTACTTTAGTACTTTGAATATTCCCCCCTTAAATTTTTGATGCTTGTGATGAATGATTTCGCTTTAGCTTAAATAGTACAAGGTTATAACTTAAACTATGACAGAAAGCAGCAGAATTAGTCGAGTAGAACCATTTACTTGCATCAGATAGTGTCTATATATAGGTTTACAGATCATGAATAAACATATAAGAAGTTTCATTATAAATTTGTTATAGTTCTAAAAAGACTGGTCGATGAGCTGCTTGATTTTATCGTTGCCTTCCCAGAAATCCGAAACCTATGAGAATTGTGGCTGTAAGAGCATTGGGGCTGAGGCACTACACTGTGTGATGATCTTAAGACGTTGTTGTTTAAGCAGTCAAGTAAAAATCACTTGTTTAATGGGCCTTCTCAAGACCGCTGTCTGTGGCGCTGTCAAAATAAATGCAGTGAAGAGCAAATCCTATTTCATTTCTGATTGAGTGTGACAGTTTTTTTGCCTAAATGTCTGTTGGCATAAACCTGCATATATTTATAAGAATTAGTCAAAGATAAAATCAACTGAATGATTTGAAAGATTATGTGTATACTGTCGATACTTTAATAGGCAATTTTCTCGCTTTTACATTCTCTTTCCAAGTTTAACTCAGGTGCCTATTCAATTAAAAAAACTTTATAAAATATATATTATTCTTGAACTGTCGAGCAGGTTTTATTGCATTAAACATTAATGGACGTTTTTTAATTAAATCGTCGCATTTGTTGTGTATAAAAGATTTGGCAGGATTATGAGGCCAAATAGTATTGGCAAAAAGTGGATATCTTGATATTATTTAGACTTCACGATAACTATCGTATCTGTATTTACTATGATGTTTTGGTATCAAAATTGAAAAACAGCGCAAACTCGATAAAGTCCAAAGTAAAGTGTATCGATAAGCAAAATTATTGTTTGGCTGCGATTTTCCGTTCCTTTTGCACGGCAAAATTTAAAAAGAGCACGAAGATGTGAAAACATGCCGCTCTAAAGCCGTTTCTTACAGTATAAATGTCAGATAATTATAGAGAAGACGAGCCAAAATTTATGTTCAGATACGGCTTGAAATAACGTGAGACGGAGATTGGTGTGTTTGATTGGTTCCTCATTTTGACCAATCAGCGAACGCAGACTCTTTAAATAGCTGAATAGACTAAGAGGGACATGGAACTCACTAAAACCTTTCTTTTCTGCAAACTAAAATGCATAATAAAACTATGATATGATCATCTGTGTTATAAGTTATTTGGATGAAAAAACCTCATAGTTTTTATCTGCATTTGCCACACCACAAATTACGAACGGTTGACTTTAGAGATTTGACTTGCATTTTGAGTTGGCATTTTTTCTCTTAATTGATAGGGCATTTTATGACATTAAAAGATTGGCGATGAAGATTGATATAATTGGCAAATGCAATCTCATTTCAACTTTAAATTATCATTCACCTACATACAGCAATTCCTTAAATGATTGTCTGAGCCCGGAGATTATGGTTTGCAGTAGGTTTTTTTAAAAACCAAAAATGAAGTTAAGGGTCAATGTTTATTAGATTGGTTGCTTTAATGGCGAGTCGGTCTACTCTAGCACCTCATGTTTTCAATTTAGCATTGACTTTGAAAACAGTAACGACTTTTTATCCTTTTGGGATGAAATTGAAACGATAAGTAATACCATAAAAATCATAAAAGGATCTATTTTTAACATTGGAATTTTCTTTCGCATTGAGGTAGCACTAATTGAGACGTGCGGATAGCTTGGGAAATGACGTCACGGGCACTTCATTGGTTTTTGAGTGCTTGTTTCTTGTGAATGTAGCAAAAAGTTGTCGAGCAGAAAGATATCTAAACAAAACTGCAAAACTCTTGCTACTAGATAACGAGAAACAACTGGCTTACCATCAGCTCGGAGCTCAAATGAGCCCGTCCCAAGGCCGCCAAGTGGCACGGCCGACCTCATACCAGTAGGTGGGTGACGATACCTTTCTCTTTGTACCACTCCTGAAGTGGCATCTTCATTTGGCTCTCGCTTCGGCACTGCTGTCTTCAACCAACAGCAAAAACTATCTACGAAGTAAAAATTTAAAAGTTTAAATCGACTCCAATCCTTTGATACCTCATCAGCATTAAATAGACTTCGTTTCTGGGAAATTTTAGGGTTGCCATCAGTTTCATCTTTTTCAATTCCTAAAGTCACAAGGGAAGTGGGAACTAGTGATGTCATGTTATTCTACAAATGTAGAAGGATTGTCTAAATTTCAGCCAACGCAATTGGAAAAAAGATTAAAACAAGATTCTAATGTTTGAATAATTGAGTTGCCAATCAAAAATAATTGTATTGTAGCTATAAACGGCCAATTTAAATCTGCAGTGCAACTTCCGCAAGGCTGCACATTAGAGTAACTTATATAAATTTATCATAAATAGAGAAAGTTTCTTTGATGGATGGTTGAGTATATGCTTATGTCGATGATCTATCAGGAAACCACCATTAACTTCAGCTTTTAAAAAGCATTTATCAACATGCATAATACGCGGAGATATAAACAGGGCGGTTGGAGTTACTAATACAATTCATCGTACCATTTTGATAATCATGCAGGATGTAATAGAACGTGGTTCTGTTCACAAATGGTTTATGCATTAAAGTTACCTTTAGGACAATTTGTAGTCGCTGCAGATTGTTTTCTCATGACCCAAGCAGCGCATCGGGGTTCCTTGCAGCAGTATTTCTGGCATATCTTGGCATTATTTTCCATATTGCTTCCATGAATTGATTTCACTTCAAAGCTTATGAAGACATTGCCTCTCATATCCGTGTTGTTCATCCAAGGAGATGGCTTGCATTGCTCATAGTTCTTTGGTTTTTCATACAAATAGAAATACGGCGAATATGTTTTTGTTGCCCAAGCATGCTGAACCTATTGGGAAACGGTACAATATTGTATTATGTATGGTTGGCATTGTGCTTAATGGTAAGCAATATTGAAATTAACAAAGGTATAAAAATTATACTTAAAGTCTAACAAAGAATATCAAGAAGGCAATGGAAAGTGAAAAATTATTTACATATATTTTTCATGCATTCGAAATTTTCGTCGAGAATATCGACCAATAGATGATGACTTTATGATCCATACAGCAGGTCTTGTATATGCTTCTTGTAAATTTTACTGATTACTGTGGCTATTTTTACGAAATTAGTAAGACATTCCTCCTGATCAGTTTTGTTACAATCAATTAATGCCCTAATTCCCAGCATTTAAATGCCTTTTTTTGCGGAAGAGGTTGTTGGAACAAAATGTAAATGTAGCTTTTATCTTTTCAATGTCATTATGATCTTTTTTCTAAACGAACAAATGCTTTTGCAGTTTAAAATGTTAAAACGATTTAGACATACCTGGGATATGTTCTGTGGTTCAGTATACAGTCCACATTGTGAAACATATGCAAAATTCTGTTTCTTCCTCACTACTCCTGGTTCGTTTTTAAACACAAGTGAATGAAGAGCCTGGCGATAGTCAGATTCGGAGTTACCAACTGAAACGAAAACAGCAAACAGTGGAACAAAAACGAAGCATAGCAAAAAGTGGTTATGATAAATGTGTACAGGTTAACAGTTGCAAAAAGCAGACAGTTTGGGAAAAATTTCAATTGCCCTTCGCGTACAATTCTTTTCTTGTACGGAGTTTGCAGACAGCCTGTTAAAAAGTAAGAAAATGCACCTGGAATGCCCAAATGTTTGTATTCATTTATCCAATAGTCAAGTACTGCAAGCATAAATTGAGTCGTCAAAGGCAGTAGAGAAATTGAGCAAATTATTGATTCGGGGAAGCGATTGAGCACGGAGTAGATAGCCTTAGCTTGGAGCAGTTTCGTTGAGATCTTACGTCAGTTGGTTGCTGCGATTTCTATATGTTCAGATACTCTGCATAAGACTATTATCTGAAATTGCGACACATCTACAGTCGAAATAAGCAAAGGATACGAAACATAACAGCAGACTGCTAATGCATTTACATCTTAATAAAAAATAAAAATCTGAATATGTTTCATTGTTTAAAAGCAGCATCTTGGACCTGTGGGTGCCAGTTGTACCAATCCAATTAGGGTCCGCCGAAATCATTCTCTCCAATATATTGCCGATCGGATCAGACAGACCTAATCTACGAGATCAATGTTGGGGCAATAAAGTCGTGTCAAGTGCGATCTTTGTTGTGGCTAGTGAATTGACTGGGGCTGTGGGCCAGAGGACCCTGGGCACAGTGACATCAAAACAACTAAATTCTGTATGGAACAATCATCAATAGACTTTTTCAAGTCATTTCTTAAAGCTTTGAAAGAAAGTAAGAATGGTTTAGAGAGTTAAAGAGTGTAGGCGAGAGATAAAAGAAAGATCAGCAAAGGAAAGCAAAGAGCAAGAAGCAAAAGGCAAAAGAGAGATGTAGGTCTTGCCTGTTCCAACATTTGCGTGGGAAGATTCTAATGTAAGAACAGAGTCCGCGCCACTGGGGGGGGGGCGTGGTTACTATGCCTCCACCCCCCACTTTTTTGCGAAGCAAGTAGTTATCAAGCTGTAGTATAAGGGGTAAGAAGCCTTGATCCTCTACTTTCTAGCCTTGGCCCCCCTACTTTTAAATTCGTGGTGCGGGCCCTGAAGAAGGATGTACTGAAGATTTTAAAATGTTAGTCCTTAATCAAATAGAGTTTATTTCAGTAAGATATGCTTTTTCAGATGTAAGTTTCTTTCACAAGTAAAAACTGCTCTTTTGACTGGGACGAACACACTCTTCTCCCTTCTCTATCTAAAGCAACAGGTCGCTGTCCATGGCATGATGGGAAAGAGATCAAACCAAAGTCAATCGATCGCATAGATCCAGTTCCACTATATCTCGAATCTGAAAAGGGGTCATATTGAGTATAAGAGTAATTCCTAATTTACCTTCTTTCTTTGTTTCGTTTCGTGCATCAGGCACAGGCATAATGTTCAAACGAGATGCTGCCTTGTTTTTCTTCCCGAACTTTCCATGCTTCTTCTTCCTTCTTTTCAGTTTGGATTTTGTACTTCTTCCCTTCAATATACCTTGCATTTTCTTACTATATTGTTGCTCACCACGCTTGCTACCAGTCTCTATCTGGTGAGTTTTCTCAACAGGTTTATACTGATTTGGCTTCAGCGGCCTAACATCGTATAGAAACGTGTGAACAACTTTTGCTGGCTTTCCAATAAAATGTTTCGTTTTGGATGTTTTAAGGGCTCCTTGCTTTCTAATTTTGTGAAAGCGTACGCTTTTGTTAGCAACAGTGTCACTAGGCAGTATCGACGCCATATCAGAACCGTCCTGGATTTGACTTGGCCCGTTGTTTGTAAAGGACTGGGATAGCGTTTCTTCTCCTTGCACAGTTCGGGGACTGCTTCCATTGTTTGAAGGCTTTGCTAGAGAGTTAACAAGATCTTCCTCCGTCTTAAATTGGTAAGTGGGGTTATGTTCTTTGCTAGCTTCGTTCATTTGCTCTTTAATCAATTTTACCTTTTCTTGCTCGCCAGCCCGGTTGCGATATTTATAACCGGCCGCATTGGGTTGATTATCATCGTCACTGAATCCGGGCACATATTCTTCCGGTATGAAAGCCCACTTAGGCTTCATGGTTCCATTATTATCCTTAACACCGGTGTTGAATTGTGTTATTCTCGTACCGTCTTGTATAAAATATAGCGATTTTGTTGTGTTTGGTTTAGGATACTTTATACCATTATGAATACTATGGTTGGTTTAGGACCAGGCACGGGCGTAGTCATGTTGTATTTATTTGGCGGTAAAGCTGTGGGTGCGTGTTGTATAATTTTTGTACCGTCTGGTGCAAAAGAGACTTGTAGCCCTTGTTTAAGTGGATCGCTATTTTCTACTGTCTTCGGTGCAAATGAATTGCCATCCCCGGACGAATCGTTAGCGTTATTCGCTTCGCTACCATTCGTCTTCGCGGACTTTTCATTAGGTTCATATTGTACAACTTTTGTGCCGTCGGCAGTATAAGTTACTTGAGATCTCAAATGAGGGTCCTCGATGCGATGTTTAGCATCGAATGTATTTTCAAGAATATTCGCTTCTTCGTCCTCAGGGATAATAAGAAACTTTCCTTGGAAATTATGAAATTCGCTTTCATCAAGTCCACTACTGTCGCTCTGAATAGGGGCGTTCTGAAAGTCTAAAAAATCGGGAAACATATACAGACTGTCGATACTTGCTGCTTGTTCACTTTCATTAGCGTCACCACTTTGGGGGTCAGTCGATGATTCTGCATCTGAAACATAAATTCAAAGGTTTAAGAAAAGTCTAAATCAGTTTTCTCTTTTTTTATATTTAAAGTTTTGAAGCCTCGTCTTTCAAAGACTACTGTTTCTAGACACCCGTATCTGAAATCTGTAAATACAGGAAATATCGGAACCTGTAAACTAATAAATACTTATCATACATTGAAGAGTGCTTGCGACATCTATCTAGTATATTGTCCTAAAGGCCCCAGTTCTGCATATCAGGAATGGGTGGGTTCTTTTGGAGAAAAGGGATCGTTTTATAAAACAAAGGATTTTCATAGTTTTTTGGAGGTGGGGGGAGGGTGAGGGGCTTGAGTACTCTAAGAACAATAGTAGCTACGGTCGTAAATGAACGTTAAGAAACTTTCAACCCTGGAACCAAAAGTATTGTCGTGAAACATCGTACTTCAATTCTATTTATCACTTGTGAGCCGCCCGGAAGAATATCTCAACAATATTCCAAAATTTTTTAAACTTTGAAATGTATATATGGAGAGGAGTTGCCATTGGTTGAACACAAAAGTGAGAAAATATCACTGAACTCCAAACACAGCAGTGCCTGTCTCTGTTGGTACTTGTGCAAAAGAGATAGATGGAGAAAGGAAATCTAGGACACTGCTGGTTAAAACAGTTAGAGGCGGTTTACTTGCGACGTCTGATAGAATTTGCTCAAGTAGGAGAACACACGGGTTTATCATTTTCAAAGTTTATCGATTCATCTATTAAGTGGACAACATAGTGGCTTTTCAATTAGTTTCGGTATGATATTTGTGGTCGTCTGAAAATGATCGCATGAGATTTCATCTTCTTCTGATTGATTTGTCGGAAATTGTTGGTTAATCTAAGTTAGCGAGCAGTTTTGTACTCGCCCATTCGATTAGTCTATCTGATTAGTCAACGCTACGAGTCGGGGCATGACAATCCCCTTTTTCTCACAACAATATCTTTGGGGCCAGGCCTAAACAGTAGCTCCACTGACAACATGGAACCAGACGACCGTTCTATGATTGCGGGAGCGACATTGGGTACAAATCCAATTAAACAGCAATACTAGAAAAAAAGGTTTATCGAGGAATTAAGCTGGCGAGCAAATCTTGCATTAGAGCCGTCTTGTTTTCTCAGAAGTCACTTCTATGGCGTCAATAACGATTTTGATGAGGAGAATAACCATCAAGGACCACAGAAACAGGGGGCGGAGAGGCAATGAATTATATTGGTTTTAGCTTTACGGAAAATGCAACTGGAAATCTAAATCATTTTTTGAGCAAGTTGTTTCGTCGACATGGAACAGTGCTGCTAAAAGTTTATATTACACAAGTATTAAGAATTTTTTGCTTTTCTCAGTTAACTTTCATTTTCAACTTAAGTGTTTTTGGGACAAAATTATAAGGGCATTTTCAAAACCCAAGTCTAGCAAGAAATTCTGCGTGATATGATTAAAAAAAACTGCTTCAGACGCAGAATATTATCGATCTTGTATTAATCAAAATACGTAAATGCAGCGGTGAAAATCTTAATTAAAGTCTCACGTAGAGTCGCCTGATAATTCCAATAAACGTGAAGCACAGAGTTGCAATTCAGAACAGTCCTGCATAACAGTCCAGTATACCACAAAACGTAAAGCAAAATGGCAATGCAAAATGCATGTTGGCGTTTCAGTCCCAATTTTTCCGCGTTTGCCTCAAAACAAGACAATTGGCAAAAATTTGGCAAATTTCTCGAGGAAAGCAAAAAGTTTTCCCACGCTATCAAATTGTTTCAGGAAAACTGTTTTGTTGCTTCAAGTGTGAGTAGATAGGATACCTCGAGGGGTTGCAAAATTCATACACCAACACCTTCTATCGGGGTAAGATAATCGAAAATCAAGTACACGACAACTGTAGCAATTGCATCATCAAAGATTAATTGCTAATAACTAGACAACGTAAAAATGATAAAATATTATTAGGTCCCGCGATTATAAGAAAAACTGGCCCTGCAAGTTTGGTTAAAGCACACATTCTATTTACAATATCGACATCTAATGCAAGATTTCAGAGTTTTGCTTAGCAAATATTGCTATTTGTTCTTACAAAGAGAACAGTTTGGTTGGACAAGAAAACACAGAAAGCATTTGATAGTCGAAGAAGTCTGAGTTTTGAGAAAGTCACCAAAAATAAGACATTTAAATAATTGTTTTTCAACTCTACAATAGACAGAAAAGTGCCTATGGCATATTTACCGGGTTCTTAAATCTAGCTGGAAACAATAAACGTAGAGGGCGTTATTTCTGTCACTGTAAAAAGGTATTTGATGCTAGAATTACCACTTATACTCCTAAGTGTTCCTGGATGCTCTGTTAAATTGTTCTGGTTCAGTAGCCATGATTACGATTCGGAACAGGCAACTGCACATTGTGCAGGAAGGTCCGGATGGCCTAGGCAATCATCAGTTGCTCACAAGATATCCCGTAAAATATGTCAAATGATAAATCCTCTGTTAATTTTACTAAATATTGCGATGGAATATACATATTCTTATAACTTCAAGTTCAAAGTAGGGAACTAGAAACAAAGTGAAACATAAGAGATTGAGGAATACGCACCTGTTCCTATGAGCATCAGCAGTGAAATCCACATTGCAATTCTGGCTGCCATTTTTAATGGAATATACATTTAATATGAGTGCTCTGTATGGTGTATCTTATGCGTATGTGTTATACCGCGTGAGTGATACTGAAGTTGCATTATCTCAAAATGGAGAGCCCAGTGCTTGCCATCTTATTGCCATTCCCTTCAATATAAACTGCAGTCTAAAAACATTCTCATGTTAGCAGCAATCTCTATTTCACATAACGTGATACGAATAACTTACGATTTTATTGAGTCGAATTCGCTGCAAATATTAATTTAATTTTTATATGGCCTAAATCAAATCACGGGCGAGCATAAAGAACCATGTGCAATGGTGTCCGGTCAAGCGCTTCTCAACTCGGATCACGGAGAATCGATCGCCCACTTGCAGGTGTTGCATTGGAATAGATTCATTGATCATCCGGTCAAGGGTTTAATTCACTCTGACCTGACTCGAAAACAATGCTACTTATAATAGGAGTCAGGTACCCAAGCACTGATCAAACAGAAACCAAGATAACGGAGTAGAAGCCGCAATGATGCGGAGGGTTAAACGTAGAGTAACCGGGAAGGAGAAGGTAGGTGTCAATTAGATGGTGTGGTGAAATAACGATTTTACCCGGACAAAAATTATAAAAAGCTGTAATTTGGCACAAAGGTTCCATACGATACTGGGAATAATCAGAAAAAAGCCCCATCGATTGGTCATTGGGAATTCCTTATTTAGGCAAATCCCATATGGCGCACTGATCTGCAGGGGTTCAAATTTTGATGTCGCTAAAACCACATTATATGTACATATTCTGAAAGACAGTTTCATGCTGAACAACTTTATTCAACATACACGCCCTTACAATGTGGAAATAAGTACTTTCTAGTCAAAAATAGCAGATAGGGGGCAACTGGGCAATAGAATGTATACAGTGGTGGCGCCAGGGCAGGGCTAGGGCTAGGGCTAGGGCTAGGGCTAGGGCTTTTCAATATTCACTCGTCCCACTTTGTTTCTGCCCAATCACCACTAAATTTGCATATTCTAAGGGTACGCATGTTAAATAAAAGTTATTTAGCATGAAATTATCTTTCAAAAGATGTACATACTATGTGGTTTTAGCAAAATTTTGAACCACTGCTGATCAGTGCGCCATTATGGTATTTGCCCAAATAAGGAATTCCCAATGTCCAATTGATGGGGCTTTTTTTCTGGTCATTTCCAACTTAGTATAGAACATCTGTGCCAAATTACAGCTTTGTATTATTTTTATCCGGGTTAGACCGTTTTACTAAAAATTGTATGGAAAAAAGATAGAAAAAAACAATTTATCCAAGCCGTAACAAAACTACAGCGATAATATTTCAGGTAAATTTTAGTCCCTAAGTACCACAGAAACAGATATATAATTCACATTCTCCAAAAAAAGTTTTACAACGCTCCAATAAGTTAGAGCGTCAATTGCAAAAACCATGTAAACCATTTTCATTAACTGTGGGCATTAAGTCGACTTTGCTAATCTTATGGCTACGGAGAAAAAGTCGCCAGCTTTCGATTGACCTGCAACATCACCCGCATATGTAGTTATGCTTGCACCATGCTTGCACAATGACTTTAAACCTTTCACGCGCATGCCCTGTGATGATACGGGGAGGATGTGGCTCGTGGCTGCTTCCAATCTCCAACAATATGATAGCTGTATCAATTCTACCCTTCCAGTTTGTTAGTTTTTTTTCGTTTAAAAGCTAAATTTGCTTCAGGGAGGAGATTACTCTTGGGCCCTCGTTGACGTAACTCTGTGGCCATTTGCGTATAACCATTATCGTTCGAACACCTTAAAACAGCAAACACCTCCAAAAACATACATCTCAGAATTAAGAAGAAAGCAAAATGTGGAGCCTACAAATGCTTGAAAAGATTGTTTGAATGTATTTTTTATCGTAGAGTCTTTGTCTGATTAAAATCATCTTGCCGTTCAAAAAATATATTTATATAGAAGAAAAATTATCGAATTCCTGATTATTTGGAAAAAAGCTAAAGCCCGGTTTACACTACACCCAGTCTAAACGGTCTAAACGGAAAATGGGCTGGCACTGGGTTTGCAAACTCTTGTGCATTCCTCATGGAATGCTTTCGCCTTTTTCAATTCGCGACCTTAATCCACAAGTGCAATAGAAAAGTTAGTCCGGGTTGAGTCAGCCCGGGTTGAGTAAGCCCGGGTTGAGCCAGCACTGTATAATGGGAGAGGGGATGTTGCAGCTCATGCACAACTGAATCTCAAGCTATCAAAGATAAACGTAAAGATTAGTTTCAAAACCTTAATAGACCGCGATCGAGAAAATATACTAAAGAATTTTTGATAAAATATAGAATCAAACTAGCGAGATGAGTAACGAAGAAAAATGTTTACTGCACAAAATACAATCCTTATATGAAAAATAACTTAATTTTCTGTACGTCAAAAAGCGAGATATTTGCTTTACGGTTTTCCTCAGCATTGACAACTGCTAGCTTGAAGGTTCGTGAAAATATCAAATTATGCCAACAAATATTCCGCAAAGTTGTTTTCATCTAGTTTGCCAGAAGAAAAACACGTACCACACTAACAGAAAAAACCTTTAATGTGGTCATTTAATATCGGCTTAGAGGACAAATTCAAGAGCTTCGAATCTGGCCTATGACACATTTATGAAATCATAACTAATATTTGAGGACCTGAAAATAATTCTGACTCATTTGAAAAGATTTTTATCTCATTAAAATATTGTCTCATCTCGTATCCGAGTTATTATCGTATTTATGCGACTGTCAAAAGCGGATCTCCAGTCCAAGAAATGAAAATTCAAATATTACTCTTCGTTGCGGCGTTATTAGTGATACTACGTCATACCATATCTGCGGTTCAGATGAAACGTAGCCCCTTGGCCTCACAAAATGTAGCAAACGGCTGCTATCCTGGGACCGCTTTTTTAAAGCCTCAGTTGCCAAAGAATCTGGTTTCACAAGGTGCTTACTGAAATTCTCAGACCTATTCGATAATGAAGCGTTTTCCTGAGCAAATATAAGATAATTTCCGGTGTCACTTAGTGTAAAGCGTGTGTCCTAATCACCTTTTCAATAAAACCCAATGTAACATGCAAGTGTGTTTGACACGCAAACGGAAAACTGATGGGAAAAGAAGTTTTTGGGGTTAATTTATTATCGCTTTCTGCGCCTGTTAGCTATGTGGTGCTTAGCTGTGACCAGCATCGTTTTTTTGTTCAGATTTTTTAATACCCTGAAATCCGAGACAGAAAAAAATAATGCAATTTTTTTAACCAGCGACTAGATTAAGAAACGGCCTTCACAATTGCTCAAACACCTGAAGATTCGGACCTGAAAATTGATCATGAGTTGCTTATCTCCGAACTCACGACGGAAAACGAGTAAAAACCCATCTTGGTAGTTTAGTTTGGACCAAATTTGTTTCTTTCATACACAGTTTTAAAACAATCTTTTCATTGTTTCAAATAAAAAATCAATGATGTCTGTGAATTATCTTATATCAACAAAGTTTCTTGGTCGCAAACAAAAAACGGCAACACGAAAAATGACGATGCACCAGCATAAAGTATGACCTAATTCGCATTTAACGTTTGATTTGAAGCAAAAAATGAAAGTTTTAAAGAGAATTTCCCATGCTATGCTTTTTTATGAAGTTGGCATCAAGTTTCTTAATATTAATTCAACCCCAGCCCTGGTTGCTCATTGAAAGCTTCATCCCAAATGTGGAGTGCCGATAAAACGATACATCACGACAGGGGCTTACCAAACTGAACGCATTGTAATGCCACGTTAAAATAACGAGACAACTGAATATTTCAAGAATGGATAGCGATACTGAACTAAAATTGTACCAGTCTTTAACTTTGATACTCTATAAAATGCTATTGAGGGAAAAAATAAGTCAACATCAACACCCGATTTACAGCACCTCACGCAGGAAAACCCACATTTCCGTACAATACGATGGGAACTGGACACAGATAATTATAGAAACTTTTTAATAGAATATTAAACTTAATATAAACCTGTTGATCCGGCCCTCTGTTCCGGAGAATTTGGATACCACTTTTGTAAATTCTCAACACCAAATTAAAATTGCAATGTTTTTAAGCTACTTTTCTCTAGAAGGCGCAATTTCGGTAACAGTGGGAAAAATTACTGCGCTTTTCTCTGTACCCACGTGGATTTAAAGAATTCCGATAAAACATTCCGATAAAATAATAGGGATTCCACCAAAGGTTTACGGGATTAATATGGAGCGACTTGCCCCTAGGATTTTAAAGCAACGGCAACTAAATATTTTTCGAAGTTTTTATCGTGATTGATCAATTGATTGACAGTTGAAAATAATTGATTATTATTATTATGATGATCTGATGATTTCGATAATATGATCGTGGTAGTGGTGATTCTTTGATTGGGCAGTTGATTGATGATGCAGTGGATGATCAC